GACAGAAATCTCATGTAGAAAAAAGGGTAAACGCTGACTTGATTTTGATTTTCAGTATGAATACAAACTGTGAAAGCATGGCCTATCGATCCTTTAGATCTTTCGAATTTGAAGCTAGAGGTGTCAGAAAAGTTACCACAGGGATAACTGGCTTGTGGCAGCCAAGCGTTCATAGCGACGTTGCTTTTTGATTCTTCGATGTCGGCTCTTCCTATCATTGTGTCGCAGAAGTCACCAAGTGTAGGATTGTTCACCCACTAACAGGGAACGTGAGCTGGGTTTAGACCGTCGTGAGACAGGTTAGTTTTACCCTACTGATGAACGGTTGTCGCGACAGTAATCTAACTTAGTACGAGAGGAACCGTTGGTTCAGATATTTGGTCATTGCGGTTAGCTGAACAGCTAGTGCCGCGAAGCTACCATCTGTAGGATTATGACTGAACGCCTCTAAGTCAGAATCCATGCTGGAAAGCGACGATATTCACCTCTCCCGATGTTACACGCATCACGATAGGCTTCGGCCGAGCATCATACTCCATCGCAATTTCGAATGTTGGGAGGGATAAATCCTTTGTAGACGACTTAAATATGGAACGGGGTATTGTAAGCATGAGAGTAGGCTTTGTCCTACGATCTGCTGAGATTCAGCCTCTTGTTCCGGCGATTTGTTAATGTGAAAGCAGACAGCGAGCTTCTGTGCGCCCTCTTCCGAGAGTCGAGCTGCACGTCGATCCATCTCTTTCGCGCTCCCCCCCAATCAACCCAAACACACAAAACCAATACAGCTCCAATTGGAGCGAACCAACCCAAACCCAAAAACAAAATCCGTGCCTTTTTGTGCGGGTTTCTCTCCTGCGTGTTCCGACGCAACACTCGTACTCCAGAAGTAAAACCAAGCCGCTTTCGTGCGGGTTTTATCATCGTAGTGATCGACTACCACTCGTCGACTACTACTACGACTCATCGACTCCCACCACTTGTCTGAAAACGACCAAGTCCAAATCGTGCGGGTTTCTCCGCGACCATTGCCAAGTACCCCCAAGTACCCTGCACTGGACACTTTGACGCCCGAATACGCCCGTTTCCTCGCGCCGTAAAGCGCCCCTCGCCGTCCGCCGCGCCTCGCCCCCGCCGGGACTCCCTCTGCTCGACCGACGCACAAACCCGCGGTCGCCGCGCGCGTCCGCGAATACGGCCTTTTCTCCCGCCGCTCGCCGTCCGCCGCGCCCCGCCCCCCGCCGAGACTGCCGCTGCTCGACTGACGCACAAACTCCGCGAATGCGGTCCTTTCTCCCGCGCCGCCGCCGCGTCTCCCCGACGCTGCTCGCACCCCACGCCGTCCCCGGCCCCCCGCGCGCCGCCGCGCACGGCCAGCTGGTATGAACACACATTATGTACAGAGCGCCGCCGCAGCCTAGACGAGGCTCGGGAACGTGACGCCCCAGATCTCGTCCTGGGCCTCGGCCTGGTTCTTCATGAACTCGTCCTTGTCCTCGTAGACCATCTTGCCCTGGCGCGCGGACGCGTCGACGATGGACGCGACGCGGGCCATCTGATCGCGTTCGTAGCCACGGAGAGCGGCCGGGAAGTCGCCGTCCGCGTCGCGGATCGCGCGCGCGAGGCGGTAGGCGCCCTCGAAGGACGAGTTGGCGCCCTGGCCGAGGGACGGGATCATGGCGTGGAACGCGTCGCCGAGGAGCGTCGTCGCGCCCTCGGTCCAGGGGATCGCGGGCGCGCCCGCGGCGTCGACGAGCGGCGCGCGGTCCGACACGCGGCGCTCGAGGACCTTCTCCGCGGGCGTCGCCTCGAGGCAGGGCAGGAGCTTGAAGACGTCGCCGAACTCGGCCTTGAGGTAGGCGACGACGTCGTCTCCGAAGGCCGCGCGGTCGACGGTCGACGCCTCGAGCGCCTCGTCCGTCGCGAACGCGGACCAGTAGAGCCTACCAAGTGCGACGGGGTCGGATTTCTTCACATCTTCAGGCGACATTCGCGCGAAAAAACACTCCCGTCGCTCGACGCTGAGTAGAGCAGGTCGTCGCCGATGTCCGTGAGGAAGCCGACCTTGCCCGAGCCCGCGCTCATGGAGCAGGCGTTCTCCGACAGCACGCGCCGCAGGGCCGGCGTGAAGGGGATCACCGCGCGCCAGATCGTCCGGCCCGCGTCGCGCGGGTCGCCGTCGTCGACGAGCTGCGCGCGGAGGTTCGACCGCAGGCCGTCGGCGCCGACGACGACGTCGTAGCCGCCGGCGGTGTGGTGCGCGCCCGCGCCGTCCGTGAGCGAGAGCGTGGTCCCCTCGACGGCCGCGAGCGCGCGGTCGCACTCGATTTCCCCGCCGAGCGCGACGAAGCGCTCCGCGAGCGCGGCCCGGAGCGTGCTCCAGCGCACGTTGCGCATGGCGTGGCCGTACTGCTCCGGGAAGCGCCGCGGGTCGCCCGTCGGGTTGGGGAGCGGGTTCCGGCCGCTCGCGTCCGTGACCTCGATGTGCTCGGTCGGCGCGCCGATCTTCTGGAGCGCGTCGCCGAGATCGGCGTCGATGGCGCGCAACGCGGCCTGCCCGTTTGGCCACAGGGTCAGGCCCGTGCCCGCGTAGCCGTCGAGCCTGCGGATGGGCGCGAACTCAGCGCCGGCGCGCGGCGCGCTCAAAAGGACGCCGCGAAACGCGCGTCGGCGCCTTCTCGAAGACGGTGACCTCAGCGCCGACGTTGCGCAGCCCGATCCCAGACGCGAGGCCTCCCAGCCCGCCCCCGACGACGGCGACGCGCGGCGGCTGCAGCGCGGCGGCCGTGGCGAGCAGGAAGAGTATGGTCATCCTCGCTCTCTTTCGGCAGCGGGTTTCCGCCGCTCGCGGTCACGGAGCGACTCGAGGGGTGCACGGATGGCTCGCGAAGTTGCGGCGCTGGCGGGCGGCGGTGAGGCGCGGCGGTGGCGGGGGCGGGCGGTGTGGTGGCGCTTTTGTTCGAGATTCAACGTCGCTTCAACGTGAGCGTCGCGCCTTGTGGCAATTGCAAGAAACTGGGCCACACCACACCCGTCGTCAGCGCGGCAGCGGCACACGGCCAGCATGTGGCGCGTCGCGACCTTGGCCACCTGCGCTGTAGCGCTCGTCGCGCCGCATAATCGCATCAGCAGCACGACGCGCCGCGCCGCGCCGCTCGCCAGCGACGCCGAAATCTCGCAGCTGCTGAATTCCGATGAGTACGCCATGGACATCTCCTCCATCACCCCCGACAGCGAGAAGGAGACCTACATCGGCCAGGGATCGGGCGTCAACGAGGGCACGGGCATCGCCGCGCTCGGCGCGCGGCTCACGCGCTGGGTCGGCAAGTACCTCGCGTGGAAGAACCGCCCGATCTACGGCGAGCTCTGGGACATCATCGAGAACGACCTGCTCGCCATGTGCGCGGACCGCGTGCCGTCGCTGAAGCCCGGCAAGACCTGGTTCGACGACATGGACGCGCCGCACGTCTTCGCGTCGGCCGACGGCGCGTGCGAGGGCGAGGTCGCGTCCGGGGCAGCAAAAGGGTGATTCAACGTCGCTTCAACGTGAGTGTTCCGCGCGCGCGCGTTTCGGAAACAGCACCCACGCTTCGAGAGCGCTCCGAGAGATGATCGCTCGTCCAAAAATCAGCCGAAACGAGCGGAAAACGACCGAGATAGGAGCCTTTGAAGTTGGGAATTTCGCACCCTTTTGCTGCCCAGGTCGCGTCCTACAGCGGCGGCCCCATCGACTGGGTGACGACGTGCAAGTTCTTCTCCTCGACGCTGGGCTTCGGCAACATGCGCATCGACGGCTGGCTGAACCGCGACTCGCGCGCGCCGCACCTGGCCGTGCATCTGTGCATCGTCTTCAACGTGCTCTTCATCTACGTCACCCTGGTGCCGCGCGCGAACCTGCTCTTCGACGACGCCTACAACGACTACGTCTACGGCACGCCGAAAAAGGGCGCGGGCGGGCGCCGGCGTCCCGCGTGTTTTTTAGAGATGTTGGCCGGGAGCGCGCTTCTCTTAGGCGGCCGGTCGCTCAACGACATCCACACGGAGTGCATCGAGGACCCGAAGAACTTCAAGCCCTACTTCAGCAAGTCGCACGTCGTCAAGGCCTTCATGACCGCGCCGACGACGCTCCTCTACACGGTCAAGCACAACAAGAAGAACTTCGAGAAGGTGCGCCAGATCTCCAAGGACTACACGCGCGTCTGGCTCGACCTCGCGCTCGGCGACGAGCCGGACCCGGACGGCGTCCTCTCCAAGGGCGTCGGCACGCCCGAGGTCCAGGCGGAGCTCCTCCAGACCGACGTCCGCACGCGCCAGTTCTGCGGCCGCGACCCGGACACGAAGAACGTCGCGAACATCTTCGGCCTCGAGCTCACGGACAAGCTCGTCAAGACGCTCTGGGGCTCGCCCGACGACCCCGTCTGGACGACGCGCTGACGGCGCGGCGCGCGCTGTTCTGTACATAAACGACCCTGTCCATGTTCGCGGCCGGGCGCCGGGGACAACGACCCGTCTCGCGGCGAAAATGGCAAATTAAGGGGAATATGTGCGAAGAAGGGGGGAGGCGGCTCGCCTACCAGCGGGGCGGCTTGCCCGCGGCGGCGTTGGCGACGGACTGGCGCGGGCCCGCGTCCCGGTTCGAGGACCGGCGCGGCGCGCGCGCGCGGTCCGCGGAGTCCGGGCGGTTGCGGCGGCGCGGCGGCTGCTCCGCGGCGGGGACCTTCTGGGACTGGGAGAACTTGGCGCCCTCCTCGCCCGGGTCGCCGTCGTCGGCGGCGCCGTCGAAGAGGTTCTGCCACGAGAAGTCCTCGAGCTGCTGCCAGGAGAAGTCGTCGACGATGCGGAAGTGGTCCGCGTCGCTGCTCTTCTGGGAGGGCCGCGGCGCGCGGTCGCGGCGGTAGGACGCGGCGGCCTCGGACTTGGCCGTCGCGCGCGGCCGCGCGAGCCGCGGCCGGTCCGGCTTGTCGCGCGGCGGCGCGGCGGCCGCGGCGTCCGCGGGCGCGCGCGCCGCGCGGGGCACGCTGCGCGTCGACGCCGTGTCGGCGTCCGTGTCCGGCGGCGCCTGCTTGGGCGACGACGCGAACTTGAGCGCCTTGGACGCGGCGGCCGCCGCGCGCTTGAGCCGGTCGGACGCGGACGTCGGCCGCTTCCGCGGCGCCGCGGCGTCGGCGCCGGCGGCGTCGGGTGCCCTGGGCGGCGGCGGCGGCGGGATGAGGGCCGCGGGGATGCCCAGGGGGCAGTGCTTGTAGAGCGCCTTGACGGGCATGGCCGCGACGCGCGCGAGGAGGCAGTCGCTGAACCGGAGGCACTCGAAGAGGGGCAGGTAGGCGTCGGCCTCCTCCTTGGCCCGGGCGGCCATCTTCGCCGCGACGGCGTTGGACCAGGGCACGCCCTCGACGCGGCGGCAGGGCTCCGGCGGCCACGCGCGCGAGAAGCCGCCCGTCTTCGCGCGCCGGAGCTCGTCCTCCGCGTGGCAGACGAGGTCCCAGTCCTCGCCGCTGAGCTTGTCGAGCGCGATGTCGTCGGGCCGGCCGCTGCGGCGCCAGGCGTCCTGGTTGCCCTTGGCGCCGGCCTTGTCCGACGTGTCGTTCCGTCGCGACTTGTCGAGGCGCGCGTCGCGCGCGGCCTTCCTGTCGCGCTTCACGCGCGCGGGGCTGTAGGGCTCGAAGCCCGTCGTGTGGAAGACGTCGGCCATGAGGCGGCCCTTGATGTGGCGGTCCAGCGCCGAGTTGCCCATGAGCGACGGCGAGATGTTGACCTCGATGATCCACGGCTTCAGGTCCGCGTCCAGCAGGATGTCGAAGCCGAAGAGCTCGAAGCAGGGCCGCTTGCCCGGCACGGGCGCGCCCGGCGGCCGCACGGACGCGCCGCAGGCGCGGTAGGACGCCGGCGTCATCTCGCTCTCCGCGGCGATGAGCGTCTTCACGATGAGCTCCGTGCACCGCTTCCGGCACGCGGCCGCGTCGTAGCCGTTCTCCTCGAGCCAGCGCCAGAGCGTGCCCAGGGGCCACTTGAAGGCCGTCGACGCGTCGCGCGTCGACGAGCTCGTCGCGCCCGCCCCGCCCGGGCTCGCCGCGCCGCTCCCGCCGGACCGCGCGGACGGCGGCGGCTCGTCGTCGTCGTCGTCGTCGTCGTCGTCGAGGTCGTCGCCCACGGGCTCGTCGTCGGCCTCGACGTAGCGGCGGCTCTTCTTGTTGACGCTGTAGTTCGTCAGGTGCACGTAGCGGCAGCGCAGGTTCCGCATCGTGTACTGGTGCGTCGAGAACCGGACGAGGCCCTCGGCGTGCACGTAGGCGACGAGCGGGTCCAGGGACGTCACGAGGCAGTACATGCGCAGGTCGAACTTGCGGCCGTTGATGGCCACGAAGGGCGCGTCCAAATAGCGCTGGGCGACGAGCTTCTTGTCCTTGGGGAGCGCGCCGTTCGCGACGTCGCGCGACGACACGAGGCGGATGCCGCGGCCGCAGGACGACGCGGGCGGCTTGATGATCCAGACGCCGCTCTTCTCCAGCTTCGCGCGGCCCTCCATGGCCTTGAGCTCCGCCGGCAGGTTGAAGCCCTCGGGCACGAAGGCGTAGGCCGCGGCGGCCTTCGAACCGCGCTTCCGCGCCTTGGCCAGCGTCCGCAGGAGGCGGTCCTTGCGGCCGACGCACCAGGACCCGGGGAAGTGGTTCACGCGCTGGTAGCGGTTCTGCGTCGCGTAGATCTCCGGGCCCGGGTGCTTCGTCCACGACGCGCACCACGCGAGCTGCGTCGGGATCGACACCTTCCTCTCCCGGCCCTTGTCCTCCGCGGCCTTGTCGCCCATGCCCAGCAGGCTGCCCAGGTATTCCATGGGGCCCGCGCTGTCGGCCTCGCCCTTCTTGCCCGCGCTCAGCTCCGTGCCGTCGCGCACGCGCTTGAAGCCCGCGAGCGTGAACGCGTTCTTGACGCAGTTCCGCTCCCACGTGCACCGGTAGTTGAGCTTGCGCTGGCCCAGGGGCTCGGCGACGGGCGCGCCGCCCGTGCGCCGCGTCTTCACGTCCTTGGGGTAGGAGAAGTAGACCGTGCCCGGCCGCTGCTCGGGCCAGAGCGACGGGCACATGTTGATCATGCGGCCCTCGGGCTTCGGCGGCGGCGCGGCCTCCTCGACGCGCGCGGCGGCCGCCGCGGCGCCGCCGGGGCTCGGCCGCGGCGGCCGGCCCTCGCTCAGCTTCCGCGGCGTGCCCGGCGGCGTCCTCGACCGGCCGCCCGGCGCGGGCGCGGGCGCCGCGCCAAAGTAGCCGTCGCGCGGCGGCGGCGGCGCGACGGCGACGCGGCCGGCCTTCGGCGCGGGCTCCTCCTCGCCCTCGTCCTCGTAGTCCGCGTCCGAGTCGTCGACCTCGTCGTCGTCCGCGTCGTCGCTCTCGTATTCCTCGTCCTCGTCGTCGTCGAGCGCGCCCTCGTCGTCCGAAATATAGTTGCTGTCCGCGAACTCGCCGTCCGTCCCGCGTTGCGAGATGGCCGTCATCGCGCCCCGCATAGCGGTTGCCGTTCGGCTGGCGTCCGGTGGCGTCGTCGGTCCTTTCGACGTGCGGACGCAAACGCGCACCTAGACGGAGCGGCGCTCGTAGGCGATGGAGCGGCGCTGTAGGCGATGGAGCGGCGCTCGTAGGCAATCAAGCGGGCCTTTTCCACGGCGCTGCGGGCGCCGCGGCGCGGGCGACGCAGCTCACGTCGAGCTCGAGCGTCGCGTCGACGGCCGCGGCTAGTGGCAAATATCGGCTTCGGCGAACGAAACCAGGATTCGTACAGCCAAAGGTGAATGCTGGAGGGCTCGCCTCGCCCCGGGCTGCTCATCGACTCGACCCGCGACTCGAGCCTTTCTGTGCGCGCGCGATGGCGGCCGCTGCTGATGCGCTCTCCGTCGACATCTGCGGTCCTGAGGGCGCGGCGGTCCAGACGGAATGTCCCGAGTTCGGGCGCAAGGTGCTTTTCAAGCCCGACACGCCCTACTCAATCGTGATCGACAACGACTGGAACAAGTGGGTCGCCGTCGAGGTGGAGGTCGACGGCGCCAAGGTCTCGCCTTCCGCGATGATGGTGGCTTCCGACAGCCACCGGAAGATCAAGGGCTTCCTCGTGTCGCGCGAGTTCGGAGACGTCGAGCCGGACGGCAGCGGCGCGCGTTCCATCGATACGACCCACGCGTTCGTGGCGCGCAAGCCCGAGGAGCTCGGCGGCGCGGTGGACGCGAAGATCGGCAAGATCGTCGTCCGCTTCTACCGCACGCGCTGGATCGGCGGGGGCTTCCGGTCCCGGGGCAAGAAGTCGAAGGGCGCCGCCGGCCGCGAGCAGCGGAGCGCGGCTCGAGCGGGCGTCCTGAAGACGCAGGGCGGCGAAGCCGAGACGGCGACGAAGGAGCACCGGGTCAAGGGCAAGCTTTGCATCAAGAACAAGAAGTACAAGAAGAAGCCCATCTGCGTGCAGGAGATCACGATCTGCGAGCAGGACTAGGGCGTCCAGGGCGGGACGGCCGGCCTCGCAGCCACTCCACCACCGCTAAGAAAGAGAGAATGACATAGGCAGGCGCGTGTTATAGGCAGACCGAGCGCGCTGCGCTCTACCACCAGCGCGACGATTTCGCCGCGACCGGCGGCGGCGGCGCGTCCCCGCGCTGCTCCTTGTCGTATTCGTCGAGGGCCTTTTGCTTCTGCTCCTTCTTCTTGTAGGCGTTGCGGCACTTGGAGAGGGCGAGGGCCTTGGGGTCGGCCTCGCGGCGCTGGCGGTTGTTCGACGCGAGGACGCTGTTCGCGATGGCCATCGCGGACGCGGACGGCCCCTTCTTCGCCGGCGCCGCCGGCGGCGCCGCGGGCGCGTCGGCGGCGTCGCTCGCGGCGGCGCGCGGCGCGGCGGCGGCGGCGGTGTAGGCGCCGCGCGGCGCGGCGGGCTTCTCGAAGCTCACCTCGCCGCGGTCCGGGTTGCCGACGATCTGCGCGGGCCGCGCGGCGGCCGCGGCCTTGTCGGCCTTGTCGGCCTTGTCGCGGGCGTCCTGCTCGCGCTTGCGGTTCGCGCGGTCCCGCGCCTCGCGCTTGAACTTGACCTTGTCGCGGGCCTTGCGGACCTCGGACGAGAACGCGTCGAGCGTCGCGAAGACGTGCGTGAGGTCGCCCGCGTCCTCGTCCTCGCCAAAGTAGGCGAGGCAGCGGCGCGTCGACGCGCGGAGGCGGCTCAGGTCCGCGTCGAGGCCGACGATGGCCGTGCCCGCGCGCTCGCAGCACTTGTCGGCCTCGACGACGAAGCGGAAGACGGCCGCGGCGTCGAGGTCCGCGCCGGCGCCGGCCGCGGGCACCTCGGCCGCGGGCTCGGCCTCGCGCGCGAGGGCCTCGGCGCGCTCGCGGTCCGCGGCGCCGAGCTTGTGGCGCATGGCCGGGATGGCCTGCTTGAGCCGGCCGAGGGCCTTCTTGAGCGCGCGCGCGGCGCCGACGGTGTGGTCGTCGTCGACGTAGCGGCTCGCGTCCGTGAGGCTCGGCAGGCCGTCGACGTAGTCGAGCTTGTGGGCCTCGCCCTTCTTCTCGAGGGCGTTGGCGAAGAACTCGAGGAGCGTCTCGCCGCCGAGGCCCTTCATGCGGCAGACGCCCTCGAGCGAGCCGAGCACGACGCCCGCGGCGCCGCCGCGGCCCGTCTCCTTGTTCATGTGGTTCCCGAGCTTCAGCAGGCCCCGGAGCAGGTCCGGCAGGTCCTCGCTGTCCAGCAGCGCCTCGTTGCCGCCCTGGACCTTCTTCGCGGCCTGCTTGGCCTCCCAGACGGCCTCGTCGGCCTCGGCGCGGAAGATCGCCGCGTCGAGGAGCGCCTCGAAGTTCGGCCAGCCGAGCGTCGCGAGGAAGAAGCGCTCGGGCCGCGCGAGCGTCGCGCCGACGGCCCGGCGCGTCGCCGCGTCGCCGACCTTGGCGTCCGTGCCGCGCGTGCCCGGGCCCGTCGGCGCGCCCTGCGCCGCGACGTAGGCGCGGACGGCCGCGGCCTCGTCGGCCGTCGGCAGGAGCGGCTGGAGCGACCGGAGCCGCGGCGCGTCGAGCCAGTCGCTCAGGGACACGACCGCGCGGCAGAGCGCGTCGTCGTCGTCGCCGTACTTGCGCGCGAAATACGTGAGGCCGATGGCGACGTTCGCGGACCGGCGGCTGTCCTCGACGAGCGACACCTTCTTGACCGTGTCGTCGTCGTCGTCGCCGTCGAGGGACCCCGACGGCCCCGCGCGCGCGGCCTTGCGCGCCGTCTTCTTCGCGAGCGGCGCCGCGGCCTTGGTCGCGAAGATCTCCTCGAGCAGCGCGAGGTCGTCGAGGCCGACGAGGTCCGTGGCCGCGTCCTCGGCCCAGACCGTGTCCTCGACCTTGACGGCCTCGTCGAGGGGCTTGAAGTGGCACGTCTTGAGGCGCCGCGGCGTCGCCGCGGCCTTGCGCGCGGTCGCCGCCGCGTCCGGCGCGGGCGACGCGTCGTCGCCGAAGATCGCCGCGAAGTCGCCGGGCGAGCAGCCGTCCTTGGTCATGTTGTTCTTCACCGCCGCCGCGGGCACGTGCATCTTGAGCATGCGCCGGTACTTGCCGAGCTCGTCGGCCGCGGGCGTCTCGGGCGGCGCCGCGGGCGTCGACGGCGCGGGCCCGGACACGTCCGCGGCCTCGAGCGCGGCGATCTGCGCCGCGTCGAGCTTCCCGTCCTCGCGCGCCCGCTGGACCGCCGCGAGCGTGCCCGTGCCCATCTTGAGCATCTTCAGGTACGGCGCCAGCGCGTCGTCCGCGGCCGCGGGCGACCGCTTCCCCGCGGGCGTCCGGAACGACACCGACGACTGGCGCGCGACGCGCGGCGTCTCGAGCCGCTTGATGCAGAAGCGCGGCACGGGCGCGCCGACGGCCGCGCGCGCCTCGAGCTCGTGCTTGTTCTTCGCGAGCTTCTCGCGGATCTTCGCGAGCGCGCGGTCCTTCATGTCCGGCTCGACGCCCGACGCCGTCAGCCGCGCGCCGAGCTCCGCCAGCGGCACGTCGTGGATGATGTGCATGTTCAGCGCCGCGCCCGTGACCTTCTCCTCGTCGCCGAGGAGCTTGCGCAGGTCCACGGGCGTCATGGAGGCGCGGCGGGCTTTTAGGGCAGATCTCCGCGCGGCCGAGTGCAAGAGAGCCGGCGTCGTGACGACGGGCTGCGGCGGCGTCGAGACGGCGGGCGGCGTCTCGGGCGCCTTGCGCGCTTTGAGCTCCGCGAGGAACATCGCAGTGTGGGTGTCGGAAGTGCTGGAGCGCGACTTGGTGTCACGCGACGATTGCAAGGCGCGCCTTGACGAGGTCGCGCGCGTCGCAACTGCGCGTCGGGCTCGACGGCCGTCGACGCGCGGCGCGAGTGAGCGCTCGAGCAACGGGCTCGTCTCCGCGGCTCCGTGCCTGCTCGTTTGCCCGATGTTTGCCCCTCGGCCGCGATGGGCCATGCGCTTTGCGATAGCATAGCGATCGCTAAGCTGCAGTCCTAGGCGCATCGCGCCTCTAAAAAACCATGCCACTGAGCGACGGCTCGCCGTCGATCTTCGACGACCCGCATCCCGATGGCCGCACGCCGCGGAAGGGCCCGCTCAAGCCCTACGAGGTCGAGGCGCACAAGTACGTCGACGAGTTCATGGCCGAGGATACGTCGGAGCCGGCGCCGGTGCCGGACCCGAGCCACTGGGACAAGCACCGGAAGCTGCCCATCTTCATGGACGAGCTGAAGCGCATGAAGCGCGAGCTCGAGGCGGAGAACAAGGCCAAGCGCCTCGCGAAGGAGCGCAAGGAGGCCGCGGAGGTCGCGGCCAAGGCGGCGGCGCGGCTCGAGGCCGAGGCGAAGCTGCGGAACGCGCGCTGGGAGATCGACCTGAGCGACGCGGCGGCCATGGAGGAGTTCGCCGCGGACCTCGCGGACGGCCTCGAGCGCGACCCGATCATCGCGCGCGCGCTCGAGCAGGGCCTGAGCCTGCGGGACTACTCCGTCGAGGTCGAGAAGGAGCTCGAGGTGCTGGAGCAGGCGAGCGTCGACGAGTACGCCGCCGAGGCGCCGGAGCTCGTCGCGCTCTACGCCAAGTTCAAGGAGGCGGACCAAGGGCTCGAGAAGCTCCAGAAGCAGTTCGAGTACTACCGGAACCGGCTCGACGGCGTCTCCGGCGAGATCGGGAAGCTCCAGGAGCTCTGCAACCACGCGGACCTGCAGATCAAGAACCGCGAGGCCGCGCGGTCGCGGCTCCGCGCGTACCTCGACGCGGCGGCGCCGCTGCCCGACGACGCCGCGGCCGTCTTCGAGGGCGGCGCCGTCGACGAGCGCTTCGGCGAGTGCTGCGCGCGCCTCGGGCGGCGCCTCGCGTCGCTGGCGCGCCCGGACGCGACGCTCGGCGTCGCCGCGGAGGACCTCGCGGGCGCGCGCGACGAGCGCGCGGAGCTCGACCGGCTCGCGAGGCTCGTCGCCGCGCGCGCCCGGGCCCACTTCCTCGGCCTCGTCGACGAGATCAGGGCCGTGTCCGCGCCCCAGCCCATGTTCGCGTCGAAGAAGGCGGACCCGGCCAAGGTCAGGGCGGAGCAGGACGCGCTCCGCCGCGAGGGCCTGCTCCGGGGCGGCGACGTCATGGCGTTCCTCTGGGCCCACGACCGGCCCACGTTCCTGGAGATCCGGGCCGCCTACGTCGACGGCATGGGCCGGACCCTGGTGGGCCTCCTCAAGGCGCACGAGGTCCTGCTCGCGAAGCACGAGCTCAAGGTCGCGGACCGGCACGACCTCATCGCCGTCGACGAGCGGGCCGTGCGGTCGTCGCTGACGTCGCGCGTGTCGCTGTCGAAGCGCGGCGACGGCTTCAGCCTCGGCGACCGGGGCAAGGTGCTCGACGCGTGGGCCTCGGGCGCGCTCGCGTTCGGCGAGGGGACCAAGGCCGACCCGGCCGCGCGCGTGCCCCTCGAGGAGTGCGTGCGGTCCACGCTGAAGATCTTCGTGGACATGGCGACGTGCGAGAAGTACGTCGTCCACGTGTTCCTGCGCGGCGGCGACGCGCCGGACCGCGGCGACGCCGGCGACGGCGCGTGCGCCGCCGTGCTCGAGCGGGGCGCGAGGGCGACGCTGGACTACTTCGAGGCGCGGACGGCGTCGTGCCACGACGCCGTCGCGCTGCTGCTGGGCGCGCAGCTCCTGCGGCGCGCGCGGCACCTCGCGCGCGCGCGCCAGCTCGACGTGCTCGACGACTTCCTCGGCGCGTGCGACGCCGTCTTCTGGACCCGCCTCGCCCGGGTCGTCCGCGCCAACCTGGAGAGCGTCCAGGCCGCGACGGCGGAGACCGTCAAGGTCGGCGGCTCGACGGCGCCGCACTTCGCGACGCGGCGCTTCGCGGAGCTCGTCGCCGCGATTCTGGGCGTCTTCGCCGAGGGCGCGGGCGACGACGCCGCGGACGCCTACGACGGCGGGCCGGACCACGCCGCGCGGACGTCGGCGCTTCTCGCGGACGCGGCCGTGCTCCGCGAGGAGATGACGGAGCTCCTCGGCCGGCTCGCCGCGTCGTTCCCGGCCGCCGTCGACCGCGCCGTCTTCAAGGTCAACAACTACGACATGATCCTCCAGGTGCTCGCGGAGCGCAAGCTCGCGGGCGGCGAGGCGCACGCGCGGTTCTCGCGCTACCTCGCCGCGGAGCGCGAGGCCTTCGTGGACCTCGCGCTCAAGGGCACCGTCGTCGGCGACCTCGTCGACTTCGTCGCGGCGACGGACCGCGACGCCAAGAGCCTGGACCGCGGCGAGAGCCTGGACCTCGACGAGCACGCCTTCGAGCGCGTCGGCCTCAAGTTCTCCGCGGGCTGGGCCGCGGTCGTCAAGGACGTCAACGCGGCCGTGCTCGCGAGCTTCTCGAGCTTCGTCAACGGCATGGACATCCTGAAGATCGCGCTCACGCGGCTCCTCGCGAGCTACACGCGCTACCTCGACATCCTCCGCGTCGCGTGGCGGCGACCGCCGGCCTTTTGCAAGGAGCTCGTGCCCCTCACGGACATCCACGTCGAGATCCGCGACGTGTCCCACTCGTTCTCCTAACAGTCTTCGCTGCTTTTCGTCCCGGCCCCGGGATACTTCCCGCCGGGGTCTTTGCGCCTGGAGATTACCATCAGAGCTTCGCGGCGATGCGCTTCGCGAGCCACGACTTCGCGCGCCGGGGCAGGAGCCGCGCGGCGACGTTGCCCGCGCGCTTCTTGTACGTCGACGCGACGGCGGCGCAGAGCGCGCGGAGGCCCGGGCCGTCGCCGCCCTGCGGGACGACCGTCTGCCGCGCCCAGGGGGGCAGCCCGCCGCGGCGCTCCTTCGCCGCGGCCTCCCAGGCGTCGGCAAGAGAATAGGTGACGCCGAGCTTCGACGCGATCCCGCGGATGATGACCGCCGCGCGGCCGAGGAGCACGAGGCTCTGCGGGAAGGCCTTGAGGCGCCGCAGGGGCGAGTCGCCGCTGAGCTCGTCGGCGCTGTAGCCGCCGGGGATGACGTCGACGGCCTTGTCGCCGAAGAGGGTCACCGCGAGCGCCGCGAGGCACGAGTCGTCGTCGAGCTTCGCGGCCGCGGCGGGCGGCGGCGCGTCGCCCTCGGCGACCTCGCGCGGCCGGAGCTCGACGCCGAAGGCGCGGATCTTGTCCGCGAGGGTCGCGAGGTGGTCGCCGTTGTCCGGGTCGCCGCGGTACGCCTGCAGCGCCGTGACGACGTCCTCGAGCTTCTTCCGGTCCGGCGCGGCGAGCTGCTTCGTCTGGCCGCAGTCCAGGAGCGCGACGCCGCCGCCCGGCAGCACGAAGACGTTACCCGGGTGCGGGTCGCCGTGGACGAAGCCCGCGCCGAAGATCATGCGCGCGTAGGCCTCGCCGAGCGCGCCCACGATCTTCGCGCCGAGGATCTTCGCCTCGGGCGACCCGGGCTCGACGCCCCGCTTCTTCGCCTCCTCGGCGAGGTTGTTGAGGCTCACGCCCTCGATGAAGTCCATGACCAGCACCTTCGGGCTGACGAGGCCCGGCACGGGCCGCGGGATGACGAGCGGCGGCGCCGTCTCCGAGCCGTCGGGCGCGAACGCCACCGCGGCGCCGAGCTTCTCCATCGCCTGCGCCTCCTGGAGGAAGTCGAGCTCGGCCTCGAGCACCTCGCCGAGCTCGGAGAAGACGACGTAGTAGTCCACGGGCAGGGCGTCCGCGAGGAGCTTGCTGAAGCGCTTGAGGTTCGCGAGGTCCGCGAGGAGCAGCGGCCGCGCGCCGGGCCGCTGCACCTTGACAGCGACGCGGCGGCCGTCGAGGAGCGTCGCGCCGTGGACCTGGGCGATGGACGCGCAGCCGAGCGGCTCCTCCTCGAAGTCGCTGAAGAGCTCGTCGAGGGACCCCGTCGGGCCGCAGAGCTCGACGCGCACGACCTCCCGGACGACGTCCGTCGGGATCGCCTCGAGGCCGTCCTGCAGGATCTGGAGCTTGTCCGTGTAGGGCTCCGCGAAGAGGTCCACGCGCGTGCTCAGCACCTGGCCGCTCTTCACGTAGAAGCCCTGGAGCTCGAGGATCGTGTCCCGCAGCCGCTCGCTGCCCCACTCGTCGAGCTCCTCGTACTCGACCGCGCACTCCTCCTCGCTCGCGCACCTGCGCTCGAGCTCGATCTCCGCGAGCTTGTAGCGCGCGAGGATCGGGATCACGCGGCCGTAGAAGGTCAGGGACCGCGACAGCCGCTCGCCGATGCTGAGCGCCGCGCGCTCCTCCTCGAGCAGCGGCAGCGCGTCCTCGGACGTCGCGTCCGCCGACTCGACGACCGCCGTGGCGGCGAGCTCCGTGGGTTTATGTCGCAGCGCCGAGAGGTCACGATGCGGCACCCATGCGCTCGCCAGGCCGACGATGAGGACCGCGAGGCCTCGGCTAAAAGACGCGGCCATCGGAGCTGACGACATCAGAGCTGTGGATGCTGTGGCAAAGGCCAGCCTCAATACTCCTCATCAGCGGTGTTGACCTGCTCGGCGCCTCTCGCCGCGCTGCCGGCCGCCTCCGCCGGCGTTGTCGTCGCGCGCGCCCGTCGCGCATCGCTCTAGACGCGGTCGCAAAAGCGCTCGTTCGGTCGCGCGCCGCGCCGCGGTCCATTTTTTTGCCACAGAGACCTCTCTTTGTGAAACCCTCGACGGCTCGCGCCACGCCGTCGCCGCGCGCCGAGATCTAGCGCGCGCAGCAGCGGCTGTGGGCGACCGCACAGCAACCGCCGAGACGACGCGATGGAGGCGCTCGAGCGCATCTACGCGCGGCTGCGCGGCACGCCCGAGGTCGTCGTGCCGCTGTCGTGGGGCGCGCTGAGCGGCGGCCTCGCGGCGGCGCACTCCTACGCGTCGATCTTCCACGGCAGCACGCCGCGCGCGCGCGTCTTCCGCTCCGTCGACGTCGGCGTCGTCGTCTTCGTCGTCAGCGCGTCGCTCGGCTACTTCGTCGACCGGAGGACGCCCGAGCAGCAGGCGCCCGAGTCGCCCTCTTAATTAGCGTTCTATAGTCCCTTTTGGAAGCGCTGAGAGGAGTCCGCTCGCTCGCGCGCTTCGTTGGACGGCGTCTGCGCGGGAACGGGAACCGGCGCGCCGCGATTCGCGATCGCGCGCGGCGTTTGGCGACATGGAAGCTGTGTTTCCCTTTGCTGCAGCGGCCGCGCGCGCCGCGTTCGCGGGATCGGTGGATCGAGACGTCGCCGACGGCACTAGGCCGCGCGCCCGCGGCAAGTTGCCCTCGCTGTTGAAGAGCTCGTTCTCCGAGCTCGCGGCGGCCAATCGAGAGAGGAGCCTGGGCCAGAGATCTCTGCGTTCGGCTGCTCCGCGACGCGCGCGCCGACGCCCGCCGTCGCCCCCGCGACCGCCAAACCACACGTACGATGTCGGCCCGCGAGCTCTTCGAGAAGTTCGACGTGAACGGGAGCGGCTCCATCACCTGCGCCGAGGTGCAGAATGTGCTCAGGGAGCTGGGCGTCGCCGGCGACTACGCGGCCATGGTGCGGGCCGTGGACGTGAACAACGACGGGACCATCGACTGGGACGAGTTCCAGGAGATGATGAAGTCGAGCGACGGCCTCGGTGCGGTCATCAAGGAGAAGCGCGCGTCGATCCTCAACGTGCGCCTCGGCGCGGCGAACTCGCAGCACACGTTCTCGCGCGAGGAGACCGAGGCCTTCACGGAGGTCATCAACGCGCGCCTCGCGCGCGACGGTCAGCTCGCGTCCGTGCTGCCGCTGGGCGCGGGCGGCGCGGACCCGCCGCTCTTCGCCGCGTGCGCGGACGGCGTGCTGCTCTGCCGCCTCATCGGCCTCGTCGACGGCGACGCCGTCGACGAGCGCTGCATCAACTTCGGCGTCCTCGGCAAGGCCGGCGACCGCAAGGCGACCTTCAAGGTCGTCGAGAACTGCAACCTCGCGATCAACGGCGCCGGACATCGGGTGCCGCATCACGAACATCGGCGCGCGCGACATCACGGAGCACCGGCCCCACCTGATCCTCGGCGTGCTCTGGCAGATCATCCGCCTCCTCCTCACGGCCAAGATCTCGCTCAAGGAGCACCCGGAGATGGCGCGGCTCCTCGAGGGCGACGAGACCCTCACGCAGCTCCTCGCGCTCCCGCCGGAGAAGATCCTCGTGCGCTGGATCAACTACCACCTCGCCGCGGCGGGCTCGGACCGCCGCGTGTCCAACCTGGGCAAGGACCTCAAGGACTCCGTCGTCTACGCGACGCTCATGGCGCAGCTCTACGGGTCCGAGGTCGGGCCCGTGGACGTCGCGCTGCCGTCCCTGGAGGCGCGCGCGGAGCAGGTCCTCGCCAACGCCGTGCGCGTCGGCGTGACGCCCTTCATCAAGGCCCGCGACGTCGCGAGCGGCAACGCGAAGTTGAATTTGGCGTTCGTCGCGCAGCTCTTCAACGACCGGCCGGGCCTCGACGCGGTCGAGGAGGCCGTGGCCAAGGAGCTCGCGGACCTCGACCTCGACGACGCGGGCGACACGCGCGAGGCGCGCACGTTCAAGCTCTGGATCAACTCGCTCGAGGCCTGGGCGGGGCCGAACGCGTCGGACGCGGTGCAGGTCCGCGACCTCTTCCTCGAGTGCTGCAACGGCGTGCCCATCCTCGCGGCCATGGACGCCATCAAGCAGGGCGTCGTGCCCTGGAAGAAGGTGCGCCTCGAGCCGCGGAACCGCCACCACCTCGTCGAGAACGGCAACCACGTCGTCGCCGTCGGCGGCAAGATGGATCTCGTGCTCGTCAACATCGGCGGCGTCGACATCGCGGACGGCAACAAGAAGCTGATCCTCGCCGTCATGTGGCAGCTCATGCGCCAGCAGACCATCGACATGCTGAGCTCCCTCAAGGGCGACGGCACGGCCGTCGCGGAGCCCGAGCTCATCGCGTGGGCGAACGCCAAGGTCGCGGCGTCGCCGCGGCCGGGCTCGAAGAAGCCCATCAAGTCCCTCAACGACAAGTACATCGCCAAGGCGACCTTCCTCCTCGAGCTCTGCGACGCCGTCGGCGGCGGCGTCGTCAACTGGGAGCTCGTGGCGCCCGGCGACGGCGGCGACGACCGCCACTCGAACGCCAAGTACGCGCTCTCCGTCGCGCGCAAGCTCGGCGCGCGCGTCTTCTGCACGCCCGAGGACATCGTCGAGGTCAAGCCCAAGATGATGCTCCTCTTCATCGCCGCCGTCTGGCAGGCCGAGCTCTCGGGCGCGACGACGGGCGGCGGCCTCGCCAAGGCCGCGTCGCCGGCCAAGGCGGCCCCGCCGACGCCGTCGCCGGCCAAGGCGCCGCCGCCGACGCCGCCGCGCCCGGCCGCGCCGCCCGTGCCCGCGCGCGCGCCGGCGCCGCCGCCCGTGCCGCCGCGCGCGCCGGCGCCGCCGCCGCCGGTGCCCGCCGCGCGCGCCCGCGGGCGACAACACGGACGCGGACCACGTCGTCCAGTACAAGCCCGCCGCGCCGACGCCCTCAACTTCAAGAGCAAGAACGGCACGGGCGAGACGACGGCCGTCGTCGACGGCGACGAGGTCGGCGAGGACGAGTGGTAGGCCCACCCGCGCAAGCAAGTAAAGGCCAAGCCCAAGATTAGCCCCGGACGCTCTGCTCCTCGTTCCACGACGTGACGCCGCGCTTCGGGCAGACGTCGCGCTTGTACGCGAGGAGCGCGGCGTTGAGGCGCGGGAGGACGTTGCAGAGGAAGTAGGCCGCGCGGACCGTCGCGCGCTTCGCGCCGACCCTGGCCGCGTCCGCGGCGACGGCCGCCGGGTCGAACTTGAAGAGGCCCGATCCGCAGGAAAAAATGTCGTGGGGCACGGAGTGCTTGCCGAACTTGTGGTTGCCGGCGCGGTACGTCTGGCAGAAGTGGAGCACGGCCGGCGCGGCGGGGCCCGGCGCGTGGCCGCCGTTGTCGAAGGCCGCCGCGGCGTCGAAGGCCGTCGCCGCCGGCGGCGTGGACGGGCCCGCGCCGTCGCAGACGCTGTCCGCCGCGCCGTCGACCCAGTTCCAGCCCTCGCCGCCCGCGTCCGTGTTCGAGACCATGAGGTGGTGCACCTGGCCGTGCGGGAGGCTCAGGTTCGCCGCCGCCATGGAGTAGGCGTACATCTCCGCGAGCAGGTAGGGGTACTGGGCGTGGACCGCGGGCACGGCGTCGAGCCAGGCCTTGGCGAGCGCCGTCGCGTCGCGCGAGTGGACGAGGTACGGCGGGCCGACGCTGTAGCGCGCGGCCGCGTCCCGCTCCGTCGTCCGCGTGCAGGCGCCGTCGGCGCCGCAGACGCGCGCGCGGTCGAAGGCGCGCCAGCTCGGCCGCGCGTCCGGCTTGCCCGCGTCGCCCCACGCGCCGCCGATGCCGTACTCCTGCGCGACGGGTCGGCCCGGCGCGACGACCGGCGCGAGGCCCGCGAGGTCGCGCGCGCCGTCGCCGATGACGCGCGGCACGTCCGAGGCGTCGTAGAGGAACTTGGCGTCCGCGCCGGCGTGGAGGCCCGCGGCCGCGGCCGCCGTGATCGGCCGGAGCATGAACTGGTCCGGGTCCAGGAGCGCGACGACGCCGTTGCTCCAGTCGCGGAACGCGGGCGGCCGGGCCGTCGTGAGCCAATGATATAAGCCGCTGGGCTTGTTCGAATACTTGTAGTTGCCGCGCAGCTCGCCCGCGGGCGCAAAGTGCGCGCGGAACTCGCCCGTGTCGTCGATGTCGCGCCACTCGCGCGCTATGGCCCTTTGTTGCTGCTCGTCGCAGCCCGACGCGATGCGCGTCACGGGGCCGCGCTGGCCGGCCATGCGGCTCGAGTACCAGAGCGCGATGGACTGCCAGTGCTGGTAGCCGCTGCAGTCCGTGCTGAAGACGACGTGCACCTCCGGCTCGCCGGGTTTGAGCTTCGTCGCGCGCTCCGGTCTCGCCGGCGGCGGTGGCGGTGGCTGTTGCGGCCTCGCTGGCGGCGGCTTGAAGCCGGTGATTGCCTTCTTTTCTGGTCGCATTGGTGGCGGCTTCGCGGGCGCCGGCGCGGCGACGGGCAGCGTCACGGGCTTCAAAGCGTGGAAGTGCGCGAAGACGACGAAGCAGATCGTCGCCAAAATCATGCCGAGCATGCACGACTGGATGGAGCATCTGCTCCTGCGCTGGCGCATCGCGGCGACGCGCTGCGGCGCGCGCGGCGACGTCCTCGACGCGTCGTGCGGCGTCGATCGTGCTGTGGCAGATCCTCGGTTGTGCAAACCACACTTGAGCAACATCTCGCGAGCGCGCGCGCCGGCTGCGCCCTTCGACGATGACCGTCTTGACGTTCAAGCTCGCCGCCGCCGTGTGCCTCGGGCTCACGGCGTCGTTCGCGCCGCCGTCGCTGCCCCGCCACCGGCGGTATGCGCCGGTCCTGCAGGCCAAGAGCCAAACGACGAGCAAGAAGATGGTGGTACCGATCGACGGCGACGAGGCCTTCCTCGCGGCCATGCAGTACTGCACGGACGACCGGCTCGTGGCCGTGAAGTTCTACGCGAGCTGGTGCCGCGCCTGCAAATCCATCGCCCCGCGCTTCGAGCGGCTGGCGAAGGAGTTCGCGGGCGACGAGGTCCAGTTCTTCGAAATCGAGTTCGCGGCGAACAAGGAGCTCTGCCGGAGGCTCAACATCAAGAAGCTGCCCTGCGTGCAGTACTTCCGCGGGAGCCTCGGCTGCGTCGACACGGTCATGTGCGGCCCGTCCAAGTTCCCCGACGTCCGCGTCAAGCTCGAGGAGCTGCTCGTCGAGACGCGCGACCACGTCGTCAAGCCCTACGAGCTCCGGGACACCATCCGCGCCGTCGCCGTGAAGCAGGGCAAGTTCGCCGACGACGAGAGCGCCATGGAGCAGTTCATCGAGGTCGCGCTCTCGGAGATCGACGCCAACCACGACGGCGTCATCACCGTCGACGAGGTCGAGCAGTGGTTCGACGCCCACGCCGTCGCGGACGTGGCGCCCACGAACGCGACGCTGCCCGAGTTCACGGACGTCCGGGAGCTCTACGACGGCGCGCTGCCCGCGCAATAGGCGCGACGTGGGCTAATACGGCGGACGCTGTATACGGGGCAGAGCGGGCGCGGCGCGGCCTCAGTCGCCCATGCGCGAGGACGCGAGGGACGTGAGGAGGATGTCCGTCGCGCCGACGGCCTCGAGGTCGTCCATGAGCTGGGCGGCCTTCTTCTTGGGGACGAGCGCGCTGACGGCGACCCAGTTGGACCGCTCGAGGGGCATGATGGAGGGCGAGTTCTTGCCCGGCGTGATCGCCGTGGCCTGGGCGAGGTTGTCGCGGTCGACGTTGTAGACGATCATCATGTAGCGGCTCGCCGTGAGGTAGCCCGCGAGGCGCTTGCGCAGCGTCTCGATGAGCGCCGCGTGGCGCGAGTGCTTGTTCGCGATGAGCACGGTCTGCGTCGGCATGATCGTGGACACCTCCTCGAGGCCCGCGGCGCGCATGGTCGTGCCCGTCTCGACGAGGTCGACGATGCCGTCGGCGAGGCCCAGGCCGCAGGCCGCCTCGACGGAGCCCGAGATGCACTTGATGCGCGTCGGGTGGCCCTCGGCCTCGAGCTTGGCGAAGTAGGCCTTCGTCAGGTTCGGGAAGCTCGTGACGATGCGCTGGCCCGCGAGCTCGCCGGGCCCGCTCCGCGACCCCTTGGGCGCCTGGACGCAGAGCCGGCATTTGCCGAAGCCGAGCTTCATGAGCTCCTTGACGTCGACCTCGGACTCCGCGATGATGTCCTCGCCCGTGATGCCGAGGTCGACGTCGCCCTCGCCGACGTAGGTCGCGATGTCCGCCGCGGGCAGGAACACGAGCGACACGGGCAGGTCGTTGCAGTGCGCGATGTCGAGCCGCGGCTCCCGCGTGTACTCGATGCCCGCGCCCTTGAGCATGTCCTTGATCTTCTCGTGCAGCCGCCCCTTCTTCGGGATGCCGAAGAGCAGGTGCGCCCGCTCCTTGGGCACGTGCGCGTGGAGCCACTTCTGCGGCAGCGGCGCGCCGCCGTGGCCCGAGTTGCCGCCGTGGCACTGCGCCGCCTCGTCGCGCTGCGTCGAGCTGCACTGCGTGAGCGCGACGGCGGAGCAGGCGAAGGCGCTCCGCGCCGGCGCGAGGAGGCGGTGCATTTTTCGAGTCTTGCGCGTCGGGTTCGCTTCACGGGAAGTTGCAATGCGACGGTCGACGCGGCCGCTTTTTGCTCGGGCTCGAGCTTCAACCACGGCACACCGAATGTCGTTCTTGAAGCGGACGAAGCATGCCATCCGGGACGCTCCCGACCGCCTCCAAACAACATTACCGTATCGCGCTCCACGCCGCCTCCGCCCGCCCGTGCTCGTCCTCGATGGCCCGCATCTCGCGCGCGAGCGCCGCCGGGTCGGGCCGCGCGACCGCGGGCGCGTCCGGGAGCATCCACAGGTCGCCGTCGCCGCGCGTGTGCTCGCGCCACCAGGTCCAGTTCTCCGTCACCCGGCGCCAGCCGCCGGCCTCGGCGCCGACGGCCGCGAGCTCGCCGAACTCGAGCGCGCCGCGCTTCGGCGCCGCCGCGTCGGGCCGCGCGAAGAGGAGCGCGTGGCTCGCGCCGTCGCCCGGGACGACGTCGTCGCCCGCGGCGGCCGCGCGGAGGTGCTGGGCCGCGTCGAGCCAGCGCCGGGCCCGCGCCCGCGACGCGCCGTCGAGGTCGTCGAGCGCGACGTCGCTCGCGGCGGGCCCCGGGAACTCGAAGACGCGCGCGCGCGGCCGGCTCCGGAGCAGCTTCTTCCAAAAGTCGGGGTCGTCGAGGCCCTTGGACCGGTCGTCGTCGTCGCCGGCGTCCGCCGGAGGGGGATCGGGCGCGCCGAGCGTGAGCCGTTCGTGGCGCAGCAGCTCGAAGGCGAGCGCGTCCGGCGCGAAGATCGGCGCCGCGAGGAGGTCGGCGAACTCGACGGTCGCCGGGCGGGAGCCGTCGCAGCACACGAGGCAGCCGATCTCGAACGTGTCCGGCCACGTCGCGGCGAGGTCGACGAGGTCCGCGGAGGAACAGACGGCGCAGACGCCGAGCCCCAAAAAAGCGGACAGCTGCCGCAGCGCCATCATGCAGCGGTTCTCCGCGTCGGGCAGGCCCGCGGCCGGCGGCGGCCGCGCGCCGTAGAGCGGCAGCACGTGGGACGCGTAGAGCGGGTCGACCAGCACGACGACGTCGGGCGCCAGGGCGCACTCGTCGAGGAAGCACAGATCGAAGAGCGCGAGGCCCGACGCGAAGCCCGCGTAGGTCCCGCCTCTGCGGCCCGCGAGCTTCGCCGCGGCCGCGCGCGCGAACGCGGGCCGCGCGCCGGGCCGCGCGAGGCGGCTGCACGCGCACGCGCGGTCGCCGCACTCGGCCATGGCGCCGATGGGCCGGTCCGGGCCGCGCGGGTCCGCGGGGCCGAGGAAGCCGTCGCGTTCGACGGAGTGGATCTCGCCCCTCCGGCGCCGCTCGCTCACGCGGCGCCGCTCGCCGTCGCTCAGCGGCGGCGCCCTCACGAAGGCGAGGAGGCCCGCGGCGCCGGCCGCGGCGATGTCCGCCTTGCGCTGCTTGCGCAGCCGTGCTTGCTCCGCCGGGTTCGGTTTCGGTCGCGGAGCCAAAGTCGCGGGCTCCGCGACGGCGGCGTCCGCCGCGTCCGCCGAAGTCGCTGGCGGCTCCGCGACCGGCACCGTCGCCGGCGCCGGCTCCGCGACGACGACGACTCGCAGCTGCGTCACGCGTCCGTCGCAGCCGTAGAGGATGTCCTGCGGCGCGAGCGGGCCGCCGTCCGCCGTCTCGAGCGCGAGAGCGTCGGCTGTCTGGCTCTGCTTTTTGTAGGCCTTGAGCAGCGCCTTGGCGGTCACGCGCGCCTTTGGGCTCGTGATCTTGAACGTCTTGCCATCGCCGTCGCGGAGCTCGAAGACGATTGGCATCTGGTGTACTCAATGGTGGCGGAGGCAGCCCGCCATTGCGCGCTGGCTGCAGGTCGATGATGAATGCACGCAGCCCCGATGGACATTTGGCAGATGGAGTCTTATTGTCGTGCGTGCGAGCGTACGTTCATGAACGGAATGAAGCGCCATCTCGCTGCGGGCCGCAGCGTCAATGCTCTTGTTTATGTGAAAGGGGACCCTCCGCTGGGTGTGTCCATCGAGGGTCCGCAATACGGCCGCGCGTATACGCTCCTATATTATGCAGTGGGTTCTGGATGGTGCCCGGCCATCACGTGGCTCATCAAGAACGGCGCCGACGTCAACGCCGGTGAACCCCGCACCGGCATGACGCCGCTGCATCGGGCCACCCGCCAGCATGGCTCCTGCGACGCCGACGCAGCAGAGCGCCTCGCACCGGTCCTTCTGCTCGACGCGGGCGCCCGAGTCGATGAACGAGACCTAGCGGGGATGACCGCGCTCCACTATGCTGTAGAATCGGAAAACGAGGAAACGTGCAAGCTCATCCTGAGTCGCGGGGCGTCACTCGACTTGCTTCCCAATTATTACTTTGTCCCCGGGGCCAACATACAAAACCGCCGCAGCATGGCCACGGCCGCCTTCCTCGCCAAGGTCCGCGCCGCGGGCGGCTGGGACAAGTACGTCCACGAACCGCGCGCGGACCTTCTCGCGCTCCGCCAGCAGCTCCCCTCGCTCCGCGAGCGCGGCCGCGCGTCCCCGTCGACCGTGCGCGCGCACGAGCGCCTCTTCCTGAACACGTCCCTGCCCGACGAGGTCTTCTCCCACATTCTCGCGTTCTGGCGCACCTCGCGCGACTACTAAACGACAAGACGAACTAAGGACAACACGCACTAAGGCCAGGACACGCGGTGGAACTCGAAGGCCATGCCCGGCGTCCAGCCCGAGGAGCCCGCGAGCAGCGGCGTGTCCTCAGCGTCGGGCACGGCCGTCTCCGTCGCGACCGCGAGGCCCGCGCGCCGCGCCGCGGGCGCGAAGTGCTGCGTGCCGAAGCGGCTCTCCGGCGCCGCGAGGCAGACGAGCGCCTCGCCGCCGCGCCGCAGCCGTTCGGCGATCGTGCGCGCCAGGTGCTGCGCATCGCGCTCCGACGCGACGCAGTCCGCGGCGACGACGCGGTCGTAGGTCTCGTCGTCGCCCGCCGTCGCCTCCGAGAAGTCGAGCTTCGCGACGGCCACGTCCGTCCGCTCGAGCACCGCCGCGTTGAGCGCCGCGTTGAAGCGCAGGTTCGCCAGCACCACGTCGTTGTAGTCCGTGAGCACGAGCCGCCGCGGCCGCGCGACGGCGGCGAAGACGAGGCCCGCGAGGCCCGTGCCGGCTCCGAGCTCCGCGACGTCCTCGCCGGCCGCGTCGACGGGCTCGCGCGCGAGCCGCGCGGCGAGCACGGCGGCCGCGGGCCAGGTCGCGAAGCCCACGTCGAAGTGGGCCTTCTGCCGCTCGCCGACGGTGCAGCGCAGCAGCACGGCGCCGCCGGCCAGATCGTAGCGGCCGACGCCCTCGTCGTCGTCCGACTCGTCGTCGCGCGTCTGGAACGCGCAGCCGTCGCCCGCGGCGTCCAGGACCTCCGCGGCGGCGCAGGCGACGTCGTCCTCGTCGCCGCGCGCCTCGACGAGCCGCGCGGCCAGCGTGCACGCGCCGCGCCGCGACATCGACCGCGCGCCGGACGCGTCGCCGCAGAGCGCCGCAATCAGGCGCAGCAGCTCCGGCGTCGGCGCGCGCCGTGCCGCGGCGACGCAGGCGCCGAGGCCGCCGGCCGCGCGCCGGCAGCGCAGCCGCACGAGCAGCAGCCGCCGCGCGTCCACGGCGCACTCCTTCGCGAGCCGCGCCGCCGCGGCCCCGTCGCCGCCGACCGCGGCTTCGTACGACGGCGCGACCCAGGCCAGGTCGTCGACGAGCAGCGTTGCATCGTCGTTCAGCGCGACGACGCTCGAAGACGACTGCGTTTTGGGCAGGAGCATCATCGCCATCGCGTGACGTCGAGCTCGAGTGGCAAACGCTCGGAGAGCATGTTGGCCCAGGGAGAGCGCCGCCTCTGACGCGCGGCGGAGAGCACGAGCCCACGCCTGGCAGCGCTCACAGATGGCCCCGTCGTCGAACTGGAACGTGCGCTGCACGCTGGCCTTTTACCCGGCGCTGACGATCTGCACGAGCCTCGCGACGTCGGCGCCGCTGGCGGCCTACATCCTGCTGCGCACGGGCAGCAACGTCAAGGTCGGGCTGGCCGTGGGCGCCCAGGGCGTCGCGAACCTGCTGGCGGCGTTCCCGGCCGCGTGGCTCGGGGACCGCTGGTCGCGGCCGATGGTCATCCGCGTCGCCGCGGCGCTCGGCGTCGGCGGCATGTCGGCGCTCGGCGCGAGCGTGCTGTCGCCGGGGCTGGAGCGGCACGCGCGCGTCCAGTACGGCGCCATCTGCGGCGCGCTCTTGATTTTGGGCCTCTTCATGGGCGGCCACTCGTCGTCCGTCGAGGCGCTCTTCGGCGACAGCGTCGAGTCCGGCCGGCGGTCCGCGCTCTACGCGCGCAAGTCCGCGCTCAAGGTCCTGGGCAACGCCGCGGGGCCGCTGGTCTCCATCGCCGTCTTCGCGTCCCTGGGCGACGAGTGGCGGAAGGGCGAGCTGGAGGTCGTCATCGCGTGCGGGTGCTGCTTCTTCGTCTTACCGGCCGCGCTCGCGTGCAGCCTCGGCGAGGCGCACACGCTCGGCGGGTCGCTGAGCGAGTCGCTGCTGAGCGGCGGCGGCCGCGAGAGCGAGAGCGCGCCGCGGAAGACGGACCGGGCGACGGAGGTGCGCATCGCGGCCACGGTCTGCGCGGCGGACGTCGTGTCGATGCTCGGCAGCGGCATGACGATCAAGTTCTTCCCGCTCTTCTTCTGGAAGGAGGTCGGGTTGACGCCCATCCAGGTGCAGGTCATCTACGTGTTGGCGCCGTCGGGCATCGCCGCCTGCTCGCTCGTGGCGCAGCGCGCGTCGCGGCGCTTCGGGCGGGTGCAGACGACGGTCGCGACGAAGCTCGCGGGCATCTCGCTGCTCGTCGCGATGAGCCGCGTCGGCGCCGGCGTCCGCCGACAACACGAGCGTACTTTTGTCAAATTTTTGTCGCAGGTCGGCGACGGGCCCACGGTCGTCGTCCTGTACCTGCTGCGCACGTGGCTCATGAACTGCTGCATGGGCCTCACGCGGTCCGTGCTCAACGACTACGTGCGCAAGGCGGCGCGGGCCAGCGTCCCGCGGCTGTGACGATGTTCGAGAGTTTTGGACCGGGATGAAACATCGTTACCGACGTGCTTGGTAGGAGCGGGCGCGGTGGAACGCGGCCGAGTCCATCAACCTGTTCTCGTGGAGCGGGTCCGCGGCGCTGGGCGGGTACCTCATCGACCGCCACGGCTACCGCGTCACCTTCCTCGTCACGGCGGCGATCCAGTTCGTCGCGGCGCTCATCTTGGCGTCCATCGCGCTCCTCGTGCGGAGCGAGCGGCCGCGCGCGGCCGCGACGTCGCCCGACGACGACGGCGACGAGACCGCGTCGCGGACGTCGAGCGGCGGCTACAGCCTCCTGGATTTTGACGACACGCTCCGCCTCGACACGCCGCCCCACGAGATGACCGACGCGCAGATCGACGAGCTCCTCTCGGCGACGACGAACCTCGTCACGCCCACGAAGCTCCGGCCCGTGTCCGAGGGCGACGAGACCGGCGAGGAGGCGCCGCCGCCGGGGACCCAGTACACGACGCTCTAGTTTTGTTCTCGGCGAGGTGGCCCGCCCCTGGATCGTCGTCGCGATGGTGCTTATGATTTTGTCGGGGTCTTGCGTCGTCTACAGGGGAGCTCGCGAAAGGGGGCCGTCCACAGGAGGGGGCCCGCGGCCTGTCCGCAGGCGCCGCGTTGGGATGCCAACGCGGCGCCCTCTTCCCGCGTCCGCCGGACCTTTAAATCTCGTCGAAGTCGATGCCGATGTCGTCGTTCGCGTCGTCGCCCTCCATCGCCATGTCGACGGCGGTCTCGTTGATGCGCGCCGTCTCCGGGAGCTCGCCGTACTGCTTGAGGTTGCGCGCCTCGTCGGCGTTGTATTTGTGGATGATGTCGACCTTGTCGTCCTGGTACTCGCGGAGGCCGACGAGCACGATGTCGCCCGCGGACACCCACACCTTCTTGCGCATCTTCCCGCGGATGTGGCCCAGCCGCGTCACGCCGTCGAAGCAGTAGCACTCGCAGCGCCCGTTGCCGAGCATGCGCACGACCTGGCTGTACTCCTGGCCGGGCTCCTTGAATTCGAGCTGGCGCTTGGTCTCCTCGTTTTCGTTCTTCCCGCGACGGCGATTCTTGCCTCCCTTGCCCTTATTCTTGGGCATCCTGGATGGGTCTACCGCGTCGCGGCGCGGCGGCGGGGTCGGGTTCTCGCGGGGCCGGCGAGGGCGCGCGTGACGAAGGCCTAGGTGAGGCCGCCGCGACGCACACTCGCTCGTTTTGAGCTGATCTCCGGCTCGGCGTCAACTCGGCTGCACCATGCAGTCGACCGTGACGCTCTCGGGTGGCGCTCTCCGCCACTGCTCGTCGCGGCTGTCGCAGTAGAGGACTTCGCCGCCAGCGCCGCCGACGCCCGCACAGTCGCATAGATCACCAGAACACAACCGACCATGAGCTCCGACGGCCCGCCGGCCTACAACCTCGCGAACCACTACGCCGAGGACCTGCGCTGGGCCGGCCGCCAGCTCGTCTTGGCAAAGAAGTACGAGGAGGCCATGGTCAAGTACACGGACGCCGTGACGGCCTTCACTAGGAGCGGCTTCGAGATGGGCGTCGGCGTCTGCCTCACGAACCGGGCCATCGTCGCCGCGAAGCTCGGCTGGTGGGCCGAGTCGTACTGCGACGCCAAGCTCGCCGCGCGCCACTTCCCCAAGTTCGCCAAGGCCTGGTTCCGCGCCGCCATGGCCCTCGAGCAGCTCGGCATGCTGCGCACGGCCGGCGCGCTCTACTACAAGGCCATCGAGATGAACGAGGCGCTCTACGCGATGGCGACGCCCGCGCTCAAGCGGTGCCGCACGGCGAACATCGCGAAGCGCAAGGAGCGCGAGAAGCGCGAGCTCCTGTTGAAGCTGGAGGCCGAGAGCGAGGCCAAGCCCTACACGCTCGTGCCCGAGGGCCCGAGCATCGAGGAGGCGACGGTCGACGAGGTCGCGCTCGCGCCGATCGAAACCGAGGCGCGCGCGGCGATCTCCGGCGAGCTCCGGCCGCCGCCCCTGGAGCCCCACGACTCGGAGGAGCCGCGCCTGTGGTTCGGCCTCGGCGCGGGCCGCTGCGGGCTGCACAGCCTGGCGACGCTCGTGAACCTCGCGACGGATTCCGCGGCGATGACGATGACGTCGAGCCCGGACTACCGCATCCTGCTCTGGGACCCGGGGGAGCAGCGGTCCGACGTCGTCGCGCGCAAGCTGAAGTCCCTAAAAAAGGGCCGGGGCGTCGACGTCGTCGGCGACATCAACTACGCGTGGCTGCCCTACGTGCCCGAGATCCTCGCGCAGCACCCGACGGCGCGCTTCGTCGTCATGCGCCGGTCGAAGCGCGAGTGCGTCGAGAGCTGGTTCTACTGGACCGAGGCGGGGTCCCTGCGCCAGACCGTGACCCACGGCACCATGGCCGTGCACGTGCACGCGAAGAACCACTGGATGACGCACGAGCAGACGGTCTACGACTTCAACGAGTGGGACCTGACCATGCCCAAGTTCGAGGACGCGCGGGGCAAGCGCGACGCCATCGAGCGCTACTACGACATGTACTACTTCCGCTGCGCGCGCCTCGCGCAGAAGTACCCCTACAACTTCCGGTTCTACGACGTCGAGGACCTCTTCGACGACATGAAGCTCAAGGAGGATTTGTTCGCCTACGTGGGCATCGACGACGAGCCCATCGACGAGTTCATCTGCGAGAACAAGCAGCGCTACCTCTACCTGACCGCCGAGGGCGACCAGCACGACGCGTTCCTCACGGGCGACTTCGCGGAGCAGAACGCGGGCGACGACAGCTCCGAGGACTCGGACAGCTCCGAGGCCGAGACGTCCGACGACGACGACGCCAAGCCCAAGAAGTCGAGCTTCTGGGACAAGTTCGCCGAGGGCGCGGAGAAGGCCAAGGAGGGCGACGCCGCGGCCGCGAAGCGCGACGCCGCGCAGGCGCGCCACGAGCGCGCGAAGAAGGCCCAGGAGGCCTTCGAGGCGTCGCTCAAGAACGGCGACTTCGACGAGCGCACGCCCAAGGAGCGGCTCCTCACGGTCGTCGTGCCCGCGGGCGCGTCCGTCGGCGACACGCTCCGCTTCACGGTCCGCGGCGAGACCGTCTCCGCGGCCGTGCCCGAGGGCAAGAAGCCCGGCGACAAGTTCCAGGTGCCCATCCCGATCCGCCCCGACGACGTCGACTACGCGCCGCCGCCGTCGCGGCCCGCCGACGAGCCCGAGCTCGACGCGGACGACCCCGACGCGGCCCTCGACGCGGACGAAGCCGCGCTCCCGATCAACGACCTCGACTAGGAGCGCTCGCGCCGTAATTTTCTTTTCTTCCCCACGGGAAATTGTTAGAACCCCCAGGAGGTCCAGGCGCGCTCGACCTTGCGGCGGCCGCACTTGTCCCGGAGCGCGTCGAGCTTCGCGACGACGTCCGGCGCCTCGAGGGGGCCGCAGACGTCCTCGACGTCCGAGAAGTCGACGTCGCCGCAGAGGCGCGCCTTGCCCAGCTCCTCCCGGACGTTCGGATGGCCCATGAGGTCGTTGGCGTCGAGGCGGCCGCAGAACTCGCGGTGGACGCGCTCGTAGAGCGCGAAGTCGTTGCGGTTGAGGTCGAAGTAGCCGCGGCAGACCGTCGCGTTTACGCGGAGCGCCTTGGCCCCGGAGCACTGCTGCTTCAGACGTGAGCTGGGCCGCGAGGCCATGAAGTCGCGGTCCTTGGACGCCGGCGCGACGTCGAACTCGCGGAGCGCGAGGCGCACGGAGCTGTTGTAGGCCTCGAGGAGGCCGAAGAACGCGTGGCGCCGGAGCGCGCGGAAGGCCGCGTCGACGTGGGCCGGGCCGAGGTAGGACGACGCGTTGCGGTAGCCGTGGCAGGCCGTGAGGACGACGCAGTTCGACCGGCCGCGGCACTGGCGCGCCTTGTCGCAGCCCGTCGGGTCGCCGAACATCTTCGTGGCGATGTCGCGGTACTCCTCGGCCTCGGCGAACTCGCGGAAGGAGTAGTGCTTGAACTTCTTCGTGCCCCGGCGCTCCGACGACGTGGCCCAGAGCCCCGGCCGCAGGCCGTAGATGTCGTGGTTCGGCGAGTGGCCCCGGTAGAAGTACGCGCTCGCCGCGCGCGTGAACGGGTTCCGCAGCAGGGTCATGCTGCTGTCGCCGGGCTGCCGGAGGCCGCAGCAGGGCCGCTCGCGCGCCGCCGTGGCGAGGTCCATGCCGTCGGGCGCGTCCGTCCAGTCGTGGACCTGCTCCGCGACGGCGCCGGCCCAGATCGCGTGCGACGCGCGGTGGCAGAACCCCAGTTCGGCTCGCTGGTTACGCTCACCGAACGCGGACCAGCCACCTTCGTTTCCGAACCCCGTGTGCTCCGGCGACTTCTCCGTCATGTCCTTCTCGACGCTCTCGCGGCGCGCGAGCATGATCAGCCGCCGCTGGGCCTCCCTGTCGTCGCCGCGGACGCCGACGTCGCGGATCCGCTTCTCGATCATGTCGAGCGGCACGGCGACGCGCGCGAAGAAGGCCACGCGCGACTCCAGCGGCCAGACGTCGTAGGACCGCATGCGGTTCAGGACGCCGGATATGCCGCTCGCGGCCGTCGCGTTGCCGTACCGGTCGACCCGCGCCCACTTGCCGTTGACCCGCGCGTAGCTCCGCCGCCGCATCTCCTCGTCGGACATGGGCGGCCGCAGCGCGCTGTGGAAGAAGGACGTCCGCGTCTTCGCGAACCACTCGCGCGCGCAGCAGGGCATGTCCACGAGTTCCGCCATGGAAGACGTGTGGCGGCCGATGCCCGTGACGAACGGGCACGTGCTCGACGACGCGTCGCACGTGAGATCGCTGACGCAGAGCCGCGGCACGCAGCACGGGTTCAGATGGACCGGGTCCGCCCCGCCGGGCGGCACCCACGTCGCGAGGGCCGGGTTCTTCTTGCAGGCGACGCGCCGCGCCAGCGACGCCATGGCCGTGCCGCCGGCCTTGGGCACGTGGGTCCAGTGCACGGCGAAGAGCGACGCGCTGCAGTTTGAACGCGCGTCTGCGGTCCGTGGTATTGACGCAATCGCGATCCACGCGAGGGCTGCCGCCGCCGCAGCCATGGCAGCCCCACGGCGACGACGGCGTCGGACGTGTGTCAACTGGTTGAATCTGCGGGGGAATCGACGCGATCGGGACTTCGTCTCCGGAGCGAGCGACCTCGTCGTCGAGCGGAAAGACGGGTGGTCGTCGGAACGCGGGGCGGGGCCGACGGCTCGCGGATCGAAGACGACTTTCTTCGGCGACGAACGACCGCGGGCCCCCGGCGCCGGGACCGGCGCCGGGACCGCTTCTCCCGGGCGTTCACGATGGTCGAGGCCATGCGGGGAGGGGGCGGCACGGACGCGCCGCGACGAACAGACCATCGAAACGAATCGAGCTCGTCGCCGATTCTAGGCGCTCGACGGGCCTCTTTTCGACGGTTGTCACCCTCAGAGGGGGGCGTGGCGGGTCGCGCGGGGGGTATGGCAAGGTCTGGGGGCGGGGAGTCGGCCCTTTCGGCGCGGGACATTGCGTTCGTGTCGGTCTAAGCGAGCAAAACCTCCACTACGACTCCATGTCAGCGATTCATTGGTCCGCTTACACAGACGAGGCCTAGGCCGCGCTCCCGTCAACGACCTCGACTAGGAGCTCGCGCCGTAATTTTCCTTTTTCTTTCCCACGGAAAAATTGTTAGAACCCCCAGGTCCAGGCGCGCTCGACCTTGAGGCGGCCGCACTTGTCCCGGAGCGCGTCGAGCTTCGCGACGACGTCCGGCGCCTCGAGGGGCCCGCAGACGTCCTCGACGTCCGAGAAGTCGACGTCGCCGCAGAGGCGCGCCCTGCCCAGCTCCTCCCGGACGTTCGGATGGCCCATGAGGTCGTTGGCGTCGAGGCGGCCGCAGAACTCGCGGTGGACGCGCTCGTAGAGCGCGAAGTCGTTGCGGTTGAGGTCGAAGTAGCCGCGGCAGACCGTCGCGTTGACGCGGAGCGCCTTGGCCCCGGAGCACTGCTGCTTCAGGGAGCCGCTGCTCCGCGAGGCCATGAAGTCGCGGTCCTTGGACGCCGGCGCGACGTCGAACTCGCGGAGCGCGAGGCGCACGGAGCTGTTGTAGGCCTCGAGGAGGCCGAAGAACGCGTGGCGCCGGAGCGCTCGGAAGGCCGCGTCGACGTGGGCCGGGCCGAGGTAGGACGACGCGTTGCGGTAGCCGTGGCAGGCCGTGAGGACGACGCAGTTCGACCGGCCGCGGCACCGGCGCGCCTTGTCGCAGCCCGTCGGGTCGCCGAACATCTTCGTGGCGATGTCGCGGTACTCCTCGGCCTCGGCGAACTCGCGGAAGGAGTAGTGCTTGAACCTCTTCGTGCCCCGGCCCTCGAAGCGCTCCGACGACGTGCCCCAGAGCCCCGGCCGCAGGCCGTAGAGGTCGTTGTTCGGCGAGTGGCCCCGGTAGAAGTACGCGCTCGCCGCGCGCGTGAACGGGTTCCGCAGCAGGGTCATGCTGCTGTCGCCGGGCTGCCGGAGGCCGCAGCAGGGCCGCTCGCGCGCCGCCGTGGCGAGGTCCATGCCGTCGGGCGCGTCCGCCCAGTCGTGGACCTGCTCCGCGACGGCGCCGGCCCAGATCGCGTGCGACGCGCGGTGGCAGAACCCCGTGTGCTCCGGCGACTTCTCCGTCATGTCCTTCTCGACGCTCTCGCGGCGCGCGAGCATGATCAGCCGCCGCTGGGCCTCCCTGTCGTCGCCGCGGACGCCGACGTCGCGGATCCGCTTCTCGATCATGTCGAGCGGCACGGCGACGCGCGCGAAGAAGGCCACGCGCGACTCCAGCGGCCAGACGTCGTAGGACCGCATGCGGCTCAGGGCGCCGGCGTTGCCGCTCGCGGCCGTCGCGTTGCCGTACCGGTCGACCTGCGCCCACTTGCCGTGGACCCGCGCGTAGCTCCGCCGCCGCATCTCCTCGTCGGACATGGGCGGCCGCAGCGCGCTGCGGAAGAAGGACGTCCGCGTCTTCGCGAACCACTCGCGCGCGCAGCAGGGCATGTCCACGAGGTTCGCCATGGACGACGTGTGGCGGCCGATGCCCGTGACGAACGGGCACGTGCTCGACGACGCGTAGCAGGAGATCTCGCTGACGCAGAGCCGCGGCACGCAGCACGGGTTCAGATGGACCGGGTCCGCCCCGCCGGGCGGCACCCACGTCGCGAGGGCCGGGTTCTTCTTGCAGGCGACGCGCCGCGCCAGCGACGCCATGGCCGTGCCGCCGGCCTTGGGCACGTGGGTCCAGTGCACGGCGAAGAGCGACGCGCTGCAGTTTGAACGCGCGTCTGCGGTCCGTGGTATTGACGCAAGCGCGATCCACGCGAGGGCTGCCGCCGCCGCAGCCATGGCAGCCCCACGGCGACGACGGCGGTGTCGGACGTGCGTCAACGTGGGGGCAGCATCGCGGCGACATCGGCTTGTGGCCCTCGCCGGCAAGCATGTTCAAGGCGATCGGCCTCGCCCTGGCCTTGGCGCACTGCGCGTCGTCCCTGGGACCGCGACGACGAGCGTATCCTCTGGCGCTCCGCGGCGGCAGCAGCGCCGTCGACGACGGCGAGGACGCGGACGACGCCGTCGACGCCGAGGCCCTCGAGCGGCGGACCTGGCTCCTGGAGCAGGTGCGGCGGCGCCAGGAGCGCGTGCTCGTGCTGTCGAAGAGCCTGGCCGAGCGGGGCCTGCCCTTCGGGGACGGGTCGCTCGCGGAGCCCGAGAAGAAGGCGGGCGTCGAGTTCCCGGACTGGGTCTGCGCGACGTCGACCCCGGACGCGCCGAAGCCGTGCCTCATCTGGGGCGACGCCGCCGACGACACCAAGGTCGTGCGCCCGCGCAAGGCCAAGGGCCAGTGGGTGTCCCTGAGCGCGCTCAACGCGCTCCGGCGCACGGAGCCGCTCAAGGCGTCGCGGCTCTGGTACGACAAGTACCTGCTCGACCTGCGGCGCTTCAACGACGAGGCGGGCCCCGTCGCGGCGCTGCTGGGCGCGGTCCTCGACTCGCGGCGCGCCTGCCACGCGCTCACGACCGTCGCCGCCCTGGGCATCGCCTTCGTCGCGCGGCGGCCCGTGGGCTTCGCCGTCATCAAGCTCCTCACGTCGCAGCTCTGCTGGAAGAACTACGCGGTCTGGAGCCCCATCGTCCACGCGCCCCTGCCGCTGAAGCTGCTGATCCTCCGCCAGGCCTACATCACGGCGGTCAACAACTTCCGCAGCCTCGAGCTCCAGATCCGCGCGGGCCTCGTCGAACTCGAGAGCCGCGTCTTGGAGGCCGGGGTTCGCGAGGACCCGGAGCTCGATTAATGGGGCTGGAATTGTGACGGTTAGTGCCGAGAAAATAGCGCGCTCTCGCGCGGCGCGTCGCATGACCAGCGGACGCCCATGTTGAAGGCGAGGCGCGGCGCGGCCGTCGCGTTCGCGCTCGCCGAGTGCACGAGGAGCGGGTGCATGACGAGCACGTCGCCGGCGTCGCAGGGCGCCGTCTCGAGGCAGGCGCCGGCGAGCTTGGCGCGGAGGCCGATCCAGTGGGCGAGCGCGAAGAGGCCCACGTAGCTCAGCCCGCCGGAATTCGCGAGGCGGTCCCGCACGCGCCTGTGGCTTCCCGGGACGACGACGGTCGACCCGCCGCCGCGCGCGACGTCGCTCACCACGGGCAGTACGATGGCGCTCTGCTCCGGGCTGTCGTAGTAGTGCGGGTCGAAGTGAGCACCGTCGATGTGGTAACCGAGCGCCGGCGGTCGCCAGGGCTTCTTTTCGGGTCGCGGGTAGCGGACGTGCACCGTGTCCGTCGCCCACTTGCCGAGCATGCAGTGGCCGTCGTCGATGAACTTCCAGTCGGCGCAGCCGTGCAGCGCGTCGAGGTGCCGGCGCAAGCGGTCGAGGCCCGGCAGGTCGATCGCCCGCGGGAGCCGCGCGTGCGCGCCCTCGGAGTTGCTGTTCGCCTTCGACGAATCCCACAGGTGCCATTTCTCGCCCGTGTGGTACGTCGTCGCATCGCTCAGGTCGATGCCCGCGCTCTTGAGCATGTCTGTGATCGTCGCGCGAAGCGGGGCGACGTCGCCGAGACAGCCGCGCAGGATCACGTAGCCTGTGTCAGCGAAGCGGTCGAGGTCGATGGACTCCGTCGCAGCATCGATGCTGTAGAGCATGTTCGTCGTGTTACGATTGCCGTGGTTCATCGTGTTTCATGACTGTCGTGCTTCGTCCTGCGTCCCGATGGCATCTCCCATCCCGTGAGAAGACAGCAACAAAAGTGAAGCCTCCATGTTGATGTTCAACATACGTACTTAATCTCGAATTAGGTCGCGCGAGAGCACGAGCTCGTCGACGGTCGTCGCCGCTTCGAAGGGACGCGAGTGGGGCCACGCGCCGCGGCCCGTGTACTGGAAGCGCCAGACGAGGTGCGTCAGGTTGAGATCGACCGTCGCGAGGCCCGTGCGGAGGCCGGAGGCGTGGAACGCGCGGAAAGGGGCGAGGAATTCGGGTACCCACGTTGGATCGATCCCTTCCGTGTCGCCGCCGGCGCCGTTGACAATATATATAGGTAGCTCGTGGTTGTGCGTCTCCGCGGAGAGCTCGCACTTCTTCGTGCCCTTTTCGTCGCACCCGTAGACGCCGACGGACCGTTCGTACTGATGGTTATGGCCGCTGATGTGCAGATCGAGCTTGTGCTCGTGGAAGAGATCCTCGAGGTCCCGGCGGTACGCGAACGCCTCCTTCCGGCAGCGCGTCGATTCCGTGATGAGGTCGCTGCAGTACATCGGGTGGTGCGTGAACGCGACGATCCACGGCCGCGCGGCCCGGTTCTTGTTCGCCGCCTCCAGGTCCGCTGCGATGAACCTCCACTGCTCGCTGTCCTTCTTCAACGAGTGGCCCTCCTCGGACGAGTAGGCGATGAAGTGGGCCGGACCGTAGTCGAACGCGTAGTAGAACGGCGCGAGCTGCTTCGACGCGCGAGCCATCCGCGGCATCGGCAGGCGATTTATGTAGGGCGCGTAGTCGTACTGCGCCTCGTGGTTGCCCGGCACCGTCATGAACGGCATGGTCGACACGTGGCCCTGGATGTTGCGAAAGTGCTCGTCGAAGACCCAGGAGTTGTTGCCGCGTTCGCCGACGTCGTTCGCGTAGCTCGTGTCGCCGACGTTCAGGAAGAGGTCGTAGCGGCCGGACGACGCGAGCGCGTCGGCGACCTTGATGGTGCCCGCGCTATTGATGACGCCCATGTCGCCGTAGGCGAGCAGCGAGAGCTCCGTCGCGCCTTCGCGGTACCGGAACGCGAGCGTCGGCGACGACTCGTTCCTCGCGGACGCGACGACGTACTCGTACTCGAAGCCGTCCCGCAGCCCGTCGAGGACCGCCGAGTGCAATGTGCCTGTGAAATTGTCTTTCTCGTAGGAATACGACGAGCCGGCCGCAGTAGAGCGCTCGTCGCCAGCCTTGCCATAGAGCACCGCACCACCACCATCGTTTTTAACCATGGTCACCCAAGTCACACGCATGGATCCAGCGCTTTCCGTCAGTGCGAGGTGAATTTGCTCCGGCGGCGCTGCCAACGCCGCCGCCAAGGCGCACGAGGGCAGTAGCAGCAGCAGCAGCGAATGGATCATCCCCGCCGGGCTAAAAACTAAAAAAAGCAACTCGACCGATTCCTCGAAAAAGCAACTCAAACAATCAGGCTGCGAGCAGCCCTTTTGCAGCGTCGATGGACGAAGTTCTCGTCTTCTCCAGCCCGTAGCTCGACGCAGGCGCAGAGTTGCGCAACGATCCCCGCGGCTGCGAGGACCGGAACCCTGTCGCGGACACATTCCCCGCGGGATGTCACTCCCGAGGATTGCGTCGCATCGCGCGCGGGGCGTCCCAAGGGGTCGGAAGAGGGTTTTCGGCGTCCCCCGCACCCTTTTCGACCGTGTTCGAGCGCACGGAGCATCGGGAATCGTTCGTCTATGTACCGCGGGCGTCCCATTTGATCCGCTCGGCCATCGACGTCGAAAACATCGACCGCCAACTCGCGCATAGAAACGTGGCGCGGCAGCCCGAACATCTCCAGCGGTGGAGGGCCACCCCGCGGTGCCGATCTCGGCCGTTTCGTCGTCCCCATGGAGGCCCGGAACGCCGACTTCACGGCGTCGGCCGCTGCAGTAGGAAATGTGCTGAATCCGCCTCAATGGCCCGAAGAACCCGTCCCACGCAATCACCTACTGCAGAGAGACACCTTCACCACTGCGGACTCGGCCACGCTCGGAGCGCGTCCATCGCGTGTAATTGCTTCAATAATCGCAACGATGCAGCTCCTGAGGTGTTGCTTTTGATAGTTTTTAGCCCGGCGGGATCATCATTGGGCAGCTGAATGGCCTCGAATTCGAGCGCACTTCAAGGAAGACTTCAAATTACGCCCCCTCCCCCATCGGGATCCGAAAGTGCTTGGCCTCGACGGCGTCGTTGGCGTGGGCGACGATGGGGTGCTGGTCCCGGGACATCTTGAGGCAGTCCCGGTAGTCGTGGGTCTTCGGGTTGGCGAGGACGTGGGTCGCGACGTGGGCGAAGCGGGAGAGCTCGCCGCGCTTGTTGTACTCGAGGGCGAGCTCCCGCGCGAAGTCGTAGAGCTCGACGTCGAGCTGGTTGAGCTCGCGGACGCGGGGCGCGTGCTGCGGCGGGAGCTTCGCGGCCTTGGCCCACTTTGTCGCCGCGTGCTCCTGGGGCCGCTCGTGGGGCACGCCCTTGGTCCAGCCGAGCTGGGCCCGGTAGCCCGCCTCGAGGTCCTCGACGATGAGCACGAAGTCGAAGAGCTCGAGGCGCGCCTTGGCGCGCGCGAGGTAGCGGCGGCCGAGGTCGCCGCCCAGCGACGAGTTGACGACGTCCGCGGTGTAGTCATAGCCGAAGCCGCCCATGCCGTCGCGCTGCGTCGCGTCGACGTGCTGGCCGAGGTGGCGCGTCTGCGGGTTGCGGCCGAGGTGCCACCACTCCGGGTGCTGCATGAACTGCGCGACGAGCGCGTTCCGCGGGCCCTCGGCCGTCGAGCTCGACTTGACGTAGGCCGTGTGGAGCGGCGACCCGCGGACGCAGCAGACGAAGCCGCACTCGAAGACCTGCTTGCGCTTGCAGACGCGGCCGAGGCAGAACGTGAACTGGGACCAGAAGAGCGCGACGGGGTCCCGCAGCGTGACGCCGAAAATGCAGTGCGGCTGGATGAGGTGGCGCTCGAGGAAGTAGGACAGGGGGTGGTGGAAGGTGATGGGGTCGATGGACTTGGAGAAGCGCCGCCACAGGTCGAAGCTCGACCCCGCGGCCTTGCCGATGTGCACGTAGCGCACGCAGCACCAGCCCTCCCCTTTCGGCTCGCCGCGCGCCATGTAGGTCCCGCGCACGTTCGACGCCGCGTCCGCGAGGGACAGGGCCTCGCTCGCGAGCTTCGCCTCGACGGCCTCGGCCGCCCGCTTCGCGGCCGCGGTCTCGTTCGCGGCGCGCGCGGCCGCCTCCGCGGCCGCGGCCGCCGCCGCGGCGCACTCGCGCTGGAGCGACGCGCAGAGCACGGACACGTCCGCGTCCGCGGCGTGCGCGTCGTCCGGCGCCTCGGTCCGATTCGCCGCGGAGCACAGGAGCTCGACCTGCTCGCAGGACAGGGCCGAGTGCAGCGCCTCCGACGCCTCGTGGCGCGTCTGCGGCGCCGGCGCGCGCGGCCGCGGCGGCGGCGCGCGGCGCGGCTTCGCCTTGCCCATCATCGGCCGCGGCGCGTTCCGCGGCTTCGGCAGCGCGACGCCGAGCGCGCAGAGGAGGACGAGTAGGCAAACCATCGTTGTGGGCTGCCTCGACTATGGACTTCAACGTGTCGTTAAGGAGCACCCATAATCGTTGGGCTGCCCTCAATCGATGGGCTTCGACGAGACGTTAAGGAGCGTCGCGCCCCTAGTCGTCCTTGTCGTCCTTCTCCTTGCCCTCCTCGTCGCCCTCCTTCTTGTTCGGGTCGCGGATGCCCGGGTCGGAGGCGTGGACGGGCGGCTCCTCGATCTCGAAGAGCTCGTCGTCCTCGAGGTCCTTCTCCTCGTCGCGCTCGAGGCCGATGATCTTGGAGATGAGGAAGTCCTGGCGCTCGATCTGCATCTCGACGTCCTCGGGGACGTCGTCGAGCGCGGCCATGAGCACGATCTTGATGCCCACGAGGATCCACTCGAGGACGATGAAGATGACGAGGCGCTGCTGCTCGGGGAGCGTGTCGAACGTCGACGACGTCTGCGTGATCATCATGCCGTTGGTGATCGTCGCCAGGATGGACATGATCGTCAGGATGGACTCCCAGGTGCCGATGTCCTCGGCGCCCGCCGGCCAGGGCCGCCGCGTGTTCTGGCACATCTTCCAGCCGTCGACGCGGATCTCGATGAAGTTGTTGACGCACGCGAACATCGGGGCTAAAGGAAAGGCGGAGACGAAGAGCGTCGCGTAGCCGAACTGGATCACCAGCTCCGCGTAGTCGTCGAAGAGGCTCAGGGAGTCGTACTCGTGCTTCTCGTACTGCTCCTCCGCGGGGCTGATCTGCCGCTTCCGCATGAGCTCCGGCTGCGACGGGTTCTCGTACTCCGCGTCGTCGTTCTCGCTCTCCTTGCGGATCTCGTACTCCTTCTCGAGGCGCGCGAGGTAGGGCTTGATGACCTCGTCCCAGTTGCCCATGACGACGCGGATGATGAAGATCGTGCCGAGGAGCGCGCCGACGTCGTTGAGGCAGTGCGGCGCGCACTGGAACCGCTGCGTCTTCCAGGGCTGGCTCTGGCCGATGGTGAAGCTCAGCGGGCCCTGGGCCATGGCCACGTAGAACAACGCGCCGTAGGAGTTGACGAACTGGAACACGAAGACCTTGGCGATGAGGTTGTCCTCGAACGCGGTCTCCGTCCGGTGGTTCTCGATGAAGTTCATGCGCGTCGCGAAGGGCATGAAGAAGCCGTTCGTGAACTGGATGATCAGCGCCAGCAGGAGGTTCGTGATGATCTTCGCGAGCGCGAAGCCCCCGGAGAAGAAGGCGTTGAAGTCGAGCAGGCCCTGCACGGGCCAGCGCGACACGTACGCGTACGTGTAGAAGACGCCCGCGTTGACCGCGGAGACGTAGACCATGCAGAGGATGACCTGGAGGTAGGAGCACGCGATGCGCCGCGCCTTCTCCGAGTCCGGGAAGTAGGCCTCGGGCATGCCCGTCACGGGCGAGTGGATCTCGCGGCCCTCGAACTCCGTGCGGTCCTGCTCCGTGTCCTCGAAGCCCGTCATGCCCCAGGTCATCTTCGCCCGCGCCTGCGTCGACTTCCAGTGCTCGAGGAAGACCGTGGACCACATGGACATGAAGATGCCGCAGAACGTCGTCGACCAGACCGCGAAGGGCGACGGCACGATCTCGAGCGCGTACGTGACGATGCCGAGCGCGCCCGCGTAGAAGAGCCAGGTGCTGTAGGTGCCCAGGAACAAAAAGTACATGCCCACCTTCTCCCCAAAGTAGTCCTTGACGAGGTCGATGGGCTGCGCCCACGGCGGCTCGAGGTACGTGAGCCACCGGTCCTGGATCGTCTGCAGCGCGTCGTCGTCGTGGAGCGGGTAGATGGCGAGGCAGGCGCCGCGCGTGATGAGCTCCTTCAGGATCAGCGAGCAGCCCTCCTGCTTGATGTCGCCCTCCATGATGCCCATCATGAGCTTGAGCCGGTCCACGGACCGGAAGATCGAGTTCGACGCCGGGTACGTCACGTAGACCGACGGGCTCTGGAGGTCGCCGCGCTTGTCGTACTTGCCGTAGATGTGCTCGTTGAAGGCGTAGCCGCTCTGGCCCTCCGTGTCGACGATGGCGTTGTTGAACGTCTTCTCGAGCTTCTCGCCCTCGTCGCCCTCGCTCGCGAGCTTCCAGCCGTCGCGCCGCGGGTACCACTTGTACTTGCCGAACTCGTCGCGGTAGCCCCGCTCGATGCGCATCTTCACCTCCGTCTCGTCCATGAGCAGCGGGTAGTCGACGGCCGCGGCCTGGTCCTTGAGCCGGTCGCTCGTGCACCGGATCTTGCAGAAGATCTTGTCGTAGTGGTAGCTCTTGTAGAGCTTCGTCTGGAGGCCGCCCATCTCGAGGCGCTCGACGATGAGCCGCAGCGAGTAGTGGCGCTGGTAGTCGCTGACGTAGGAGTCGGGGCCGTAGACCCGGAAGACCATGACCCAGTCCCAGTTCCAGTTCTGCTGCGCGTCGTAGCTCTTGAAGAGCGGGTCGGGCTTCACGTACTTTTGCCGGGGCTTCATCTGGATGCGCGCCATCTTGATGAGCAGCTGCAGGGAGCAGATGAGCAGCATGAGCACGAAGAAGTAGACGCCGCCGACGACGATGAGCTGGATCTGCTCCGCGCTCCGATTCATGGCGCCTGTCTTGGTGATGTGCGAGGGTACGAGCTCGGAGGGCCCGCCCCGGCCCGCGGGGGAGGGCGGCGACCTTTACGGACGGATGATCCCACGCGCCGGGGCTGCGTTCGCGTCGGCTGGCGTCGGCAGCCCGAGCTCCTCGCCTCGATTTTTGCTGTGAGGGGGGCAATAATCCTGGGTGGTCAGCATTGCACCACTCGTTGCCCCACGTCAACAGCCGATCTGCCTGGCTCGCATCTGGAGGTCTGCTGGACGCGATCCGTGCGCGGCTCGGCAGGCGTTGGCGTCGTCGGCAAGGCGTCGCGCCGCGCACCGCGGCCAATCGCTGGTGCTGCAGCGCAATGGGTCTGGTGCTCCTGCTGAGATTAGGCCTCCTCGCGCCGGCATCGCACGCCTGGACGCGCATCGCGTCGCCGCGCGCGCCCGCGCCGCGGACGGCGCTGCGCAGCGAGCCCGGCGACGGCGACGCCTGGGGCGACGGCGACTCCTGGGACGGCGACGGCGACTCCTGGGACGGCGGCGGCTTCGACGAGGCGCCGAGTTGGGAGGACGACGCGGTGTCCAAGTTCCTGAAGAACGTGGAAGCGTTCGACGCGAGCGAAACAGAGGATGACGGCGGCGACGCCTACGCGAACGACGCGCTGGACGTGCTCGCGAGCGACGCCTACGCGGCCGACGACGACGCGGCGGCCGACGACGACGACGGGGCCGAGGCGTCGTCGTCGTCGGACGAGGCGCTGGACCTGCTCGCGGCGGAGGAGCAGGACATGATGGCGGACGCGGGCGTCGTCGTCGACGAGCGGCTCGGCGAGGTGGCGAGCCACGAGCTCATCGAGGTCGACGAGGACGGCGACCCGATCGTGAGCGCCGACCGCATGGTCTTCGTCGACGAGGCGACGTGCATCGGCTGCACGATGTGCGCGTCCATCGCGCCGCTCACGTTCCTCATGGAGGACGACTTCGGCCGCGCGCGGACCTTCAACCAGGAGGGCGACGACGACGAGACCGTCGCCGAGGCCATTTCCACGTGCCCCGTCGACTGCATCCACTACGTGCCCTGGGACGAGCTCGTCTCCCTCGAGCGCGAGCGCGACGCCGAGCACTACTCCTACAACTTCAAGGGCCGGCTCGTGGGCAACGAGGGCCTGCTGAGCACCGCGGGCGCGGGCGCGAACCTCCTCGACATCTCGACGAACAACATGATGCGCTGCAGCAACTGCCCGTCGAACAAGTGCCCCGAGTGCCCCATGTACAGCGTCAGCGAGGGCAAGCGGACGAAGCGCTGCGGCAACTGCCCGACGAACGGCTGCCTCAACTGCCCCATCGCGACGCAGTACCCCGAGTTCCAGAAGAAGCGCGCGCGGCGGGACCGGAAACGGCGCGAGCGGCGCAAGGCGGAGCAGGAGGAGATCCGCGAGCAGCTCGGCGTCGACGCGCCGGGCCGCGAGGTCGACTTGTAGGGGTAACTTTGTGTGGTGTTGTTGTTAACCTTGCACTGCATCTTGCCCTCAACTCCTGAGGAGAGCGTGCGAGCTCTCCTTGCGACCACGGCAGCATGATGGCACGCAGTCATGCAGTGCTGCTATTGGCCATCTGCGTCCCAGCGCTGGGACTCGTCGCGCCGCCGCGGCGCGGCATCGCGCCGTCGCGCTCCACCATCCCGGTTGCACGGCGCGGCGCCTTCGCGGCGCGTGCGCCGGTGCTCTTCGCGAGCGACGGCGACGATGCGGTCGTCGAGGCCCCGGACATCCCCGTGCAGGAGCGGCTGCGCCTCTTCTGGCGGCTGGCGACGCCCTACTTCAAGGAGGCCGACGGCGCGAAGCTCCAGTTCGGCCTGCTCCTCGCGCTCGTCCTCGCGCAGAGCAGCATCTCCGTCATCTTCAGCTTCGTCGGCCGCGACTTCTACAGCGCTTTGAGCGCCAAGGACCAGGCGGTCTTCGCGGAGAAGACGCTCTACTACGCCGTCGGCCTCGCCGTGGCGACGCCGCTCACCGTGCTCTACAAGTTCCAGCGCCAGCGGCTCGCGCTCAACTGGCGCGAGTGGATGACGACGGAGCTCGCGCGCCAGTACTACAGCGACCAGGCCTACTACAAGGTCGAGCTCGAGCGCGACATCGACAACCCGGACCAGCGCCTGACGGAGGACGTGACGGCCTTCACGAAGGTGTCGCTCGACTTCTTCATCACGCTGATGACGGCCGCGATCGACCTCGTGTCCTTCTCCGGCATCCTCTACAGCATCTACCCGAACCTGTTCTACGCCATCTTCGTCTACGCCGGCGTCGGGTCCTTCACGACGGTCCAGCTCGGGAAGACGCTCGTGGGCCAGAACGCGGAGCAGCTGCTGCGCGAGGCTGGGCCGAATTCAAATCTTCAACTCGACTTCAATGTGAGCGTACGCGACAGTTTCGACGCGACCTCTTCGGCTTTGCTTCGAGAAATCGACGAGAGCAATCGATTCGTCCACAAATCAGCCGAATCGACTTCGATTTGACCGAGCTAGAGAATTCTGAAGTTTGGTCAGGACCACCCAAACCAGAGGTTGAATTCGGCACAGGCGCGAGGCGGACCTGCGGTACTCGCTCGTGCGGCTCCGGGAGAACGCCGAGTCCATCGCGTCCTGCCCAGTGAAGAAGGCATTTTTTTTACATGGCCCCGGTCTCTCCTCTTGGGGCCCCGTCGGATCGACGCGCGCGCCGTCCGCCTCCCCTCGGACATGCCCCGGCGCGCGCTGTGTGGATCGGACGCCGCGGTCGCGCCGTCCGGAGCCTGCGGACCTAGGACCTACGCGCCCGCGCAGGTTCTACCAGGGCGAGCAGCAGGAGGAGGCCGAGGTCACGGACCGCCTGGGCAAGGCCGTCGAGAACAAGCGCGGCATCCTCGGCACGCAGCGGAACCTCGAGTTCTTCACGACGGCGTACACGTACCTCATCCAGATCCTGCCCGTGCTCGTCGTCTCGCCGCTCTACTTCGCGGGCACGATCGAGCTCGGCGTCATCACCCAGTCGACGGGCGCGTTCAACCACGTGCTCAACGACCTGTCCATCATCGTGAACCAGTTCGAGGGCATCTCGTCCTTCTCCGCGGGGCTCAACCGCCTGTCGACGTTCGTCGAGCGCATGGAGTCGTTCCGCGGCGCGAACGCGACCGCGACCTTCCGCCTCGGGGGCGAGGACGACGACCACGGCGCGGACGACGACGTCGCGCGCGTCGAGAATTCGGAGGTCGCCGACGGCGCGCTGCGCCTCGAGGGCCTGAGCCTGAGCACGCCCGACGGGCAGCGCGAGCTCTTCCGCGACGTGAGCGTCAGAGTGGCTCCGTGGGTGCCTACGTGGGCGCCTGCGAGGCTACGCAGAGCCGAGGCACCGCTTTTCACGGGCTACGCCTCTGAAGCCTCTGGAGCCTCGGCTCTGCAGCCTCTAGAGCCCACGTAGGCACCGCTTTCACGGGCTACGTAGGTGCCTAGGCGCCTACGTAGCCTCGTCCGGAGCCTACGAACTCACGACCCACGCGCCCTCGCAGGTGAGCGTCGCCGTGGACCGCGGCGAGCACCTCCTGATCATGGGCGACAGCGGCACGGGCAAGTCGTCGATGCTCCGCGCCGTCGCGGGCCTCTGGGACCGGGGCTCCGGCGCCGTCGTCCGCCCGCCGGCGGCCGACACCATGTTCCTGCCCCAGCGGCCCTACTGCACGCTCGGCAGCCTCCGCCAGCAGCTCGTCTACCCGTCGACGGTCGCGGCGTCGCCCGCGGGCGGCGACGACGGCGCGCTGCTCGGCGCGCTCCGCGCGGTGCAGCTCGGCCGCATCGCCGACAGCGTCGACCTCGACGACGTCCGCGACTGGGGCGACGAGCTGAGCCTCGGCGAGCAGCAGCGGCTCAGCTTCGCGCGCGTGCTCGTCAACCGCCCCGCGCTCGCGATCCTCGACGAGGCGACGTCCGCGCTCGACCTCAACAACGAGGCCGTCATGTACGGCGAGCTCGGGAAGATCCCGGGCATCACCTACGTCTCCGTCGGCCACCGGCCGTCGCTCCTCGCGCACCACGAGAACCGGCTGCGGCTACTCGGGGTGGGTGAGACGCCGAACTTCGAGGTGGAGAAGATCGTCAAGGAAGGGGAGGTGGGTGTTTAAAGAGTCTTCTTTTACCCGAGGCTCGTTCGGGGG